ACTGAATAAACGAGAGAGATATAGAAAGAGATATAAGAGATAAGAAAGAAAGCGAGAGAAAAGAAATAGCAAACACGATAAGATTCTATTCTAAAAATCTATATATGATAGATATATTATATATATCGGAAAAATGCAGATGTATTTACTAAGAGCTTTCGCGATGGCAAAGGGGAAAGAATGTAAAGCGAGCCAATTAGTTCTCAAGTGATGGAAAAAGATCCACTCGATTTTTTTCAACGAATAAAGCTTTCAAGTAGGAGCTTAACGAATATAAGAATACGGATTTTATACCGCTAGCGCAAACAATGTAATTGCAAAACAAGTCATATCGGCTTGCTATCGTATTAGATGACAGTTGAAGCCGTTGGATTTGCATCAATCGGGAACTACGTGGCTCGAATGGCGTGCAAAATTGTCGGCGAGAAATTAGAGAAGCGAATTTCGTGGCCCTGCGATCGAGAATTGACGTTCTTCGGCGAACGGGTTCGGCGTTCTAGATCTTAAGGCTTTACACACGTAGGTATAAAAAGAATTTATTTAAGAAAATTATAGACAGGCATGTCTAAAACTTGCGTCGGCGCGCAAGTGCTGGTGGAGAGAGTGAGCCTGCAATGATTCGTTCGCCGTTTCTGCGTGACAGAAGGCGAGGCGATGATTTTGGGTGGGCCTTTTTCATTGATAAAAAAAGAGCTTTCGTTTTTATTGTATGTTTTTCTTGCAATCTATTAACCGTATTTATATTGTCAGCCGCTGGTAGAATTTCCCGCGCGCAGAAGAACGTTCGAAATCGCGAATTCGAAAACCGGATAGAAATATGTCAAGCGTGCAAGTCGCTGCTGCGATTTTACTCAATCTAGTCGAAATTGATAAATCAATGTTGGCGCGACAAAATGGACGGCAAACGATTTTGGAAATCATTTTGAGTCATTGATTGAGCACATTATTATATTGTAAAAATATGCACGTCCATATTGTCTCTGGATCAACTAAAAGGTGTGTTAGAAATGCAATTTGAAAAAAAGTCTATCTGGTCTTCGCGAGAAGCATGAATATTAAATGTAACATTGCTTAATACTTGAATGATCCGTTCAATTGTCTTTTTCGGTCATCATTGATGACTCGTCTTCGCAGGGCAACCAATTCGCTGTAACGAACGTACTATTGCATTAAGAAGAGAATAATGTGCTGCAATTAGATCGTTAATCAGCCCGAAGGTGTGTTTACATCTATGTAAGAAAAGAGATTGCCGTGTGAATGAGAGGGAAACATGCAGGGGTGCAATGATGATGGAAAGTGAACGACGCGAGAAGTAATTGTGACTATAGTTCAATCACCCATCGCAGAACCCCCTTAAGCGAGGAACACGAGAGAGGAGAAGGGAATGATCGCGGGAAAATAGGCGAATAGCTGTAGGAAATTGCGAAGCAAGAGCAAATAGCGCGTACGAGGGAGAGACGAGAAAGTAGGGTCGAGACAAGTAGGTTTTGAACCGAGAGAGCCTTGTGTTAAGTGCCTTCAAAAGTACGACTTAGATTTTAGGCTATAGAAGAAACGAAACAAAAGAGGCGCTGGGCGCGTCCAGCTGTGAACGGATTTTTACGGTATTATTCAGCCGGGTGTCGCCAATTTGTGTGCAAGATTTCGGCACACGACGAAGCTACTCGACGTACATCTTTAAAAAAAATAATATAAAGTTTTTCTTTTTTTTTGCTTTTTCTTAGTTACGTCAATTATCATAAGCTCAGCTCCTATTTAATCAAAATAGGTTCTAAGAATGTCAATGAGAACCCTAAGAGTCTTATGATGTTTGGTTTGAAGTGCGATAGATTAATAGAATGTATAAATGAGAAGAACTTGATTACATTTTGTCTAAAATTAGCATAATTACTAAGCCTGTTTTCCTTCCGTTCAATTTTTTTATAACAGTACGGAGGCCTAAGGATTCATTTTAAGATACCTTTGAAAAGAGGAAGATATAAGATTTTTGCGACGAGTAGCTCCGTCAGCCGAAATCTCCGGCGACGTTCTGCGTACATCTCGAGACCAGTGATATTTTTTTAGAAATTATTTATTTATGCCGAAGAAAGCGGAATTTAATCTCAATCACTCGCCTTTATACTGCCAATATATCCGCTAGGACGTACTCAACCTTCGTTCGATCGATTTTTTACATGATCAACCGTGCCCTACGCGTGACATTTTTCTTCCCCGACTTTCGCGACAACCGCAATATATGTGTGTGTGTGATCTTTTGCATTTTAATTTACGTCAGTTCCGTATTTATTTTTACACAGATCATGCTTCTTACGCATCTTTATCGTTCTCGTAACGTTATTTTCCATGGGACACAAGTATGCGACACTTTCCTCGGGTTCCTTTGCACTACGACTTTTTTTTCGTCCGTCTTTAATTGACAGTACAATTATCTGTAATAAATAATAGCGAAGTCTAAATCGCGTCGCGAGCACGCGATTTGAGCACCGAGTGCGGAACGTCTTCTGCGTCCGTCTCATTTTCGCTTCGAGATTTGATCGAAGACAATCGATCAATATCCTCAATATACTGACTTATTATATGTACAACATACCAGATCATCCGCATATAGTATCATGAACGTTTTTACTTTAAGAGGACCCTCGACGGACGTTCCGCACTCGAATTTAAGTACGATACTCTTTAGTACAAGCACAGTACTCGACTGTACAGAAATAGATAGAATGAGAAGCGAACAAAGGAAATGTGTGTGTGTGTGAGAGAGAGAGAAAGATAGAGCGAATGAGCGATAGAGTGTGAGCGTGAGAGAAAGAGAGCGAGTGAAAGAGGAACACGTAAAAGTAAAATACAATTACAACTTCCGCTCAGCGCCTCAAACGCAAAACATACTACTTGTAATCGTAACTTCTTTGTCGCCATGTATTTGCCAACGAACGAATGATTTATTAATTATTATTTTTTCCTTTTGCCTTCATTTTATATTAATATTATTTAGAGAGCAACAATTATTAACGCTATGATGATAACGATAATCTTTCTAGATACTTTTTTGCTTGTTCTCTTGCGACAAATTCAACAGCGACACACACAACAGAGACGTACACATATATGCACATCACGTGCATATGTATACATATACAATACGAGATATGAACATCTGTAAATACATATACGAAGATCACCCATTTGCGATAAGATAACGATGATTTAGCGAAGTGCGAACTTCATCGTCGCGTCGCCGCGCCGTTTATTGGCGTTCGTTTGTATCAAGTAAGAACAGTCGCTTTTGCTTAAGGAACTCACAGGGAACGCTGGGTCGGTCTCGAACTCGCGCTGGAACTCACACCTCTCGTTCGCATGAATTGTAAAGAAATCAGAATAAATCGCGAGGAGAGACTGGCGAGATCCCGCGTCGATCGCGACAGACCGAACGTTCGAATCCTGTTCTTTCTATTACAGTATACTTCCTTTCCGTTTTTTTTTCTGTATACACATATCATCTTTTGGACCTTTCGAACATTCCAAAACGCTTGTTTCCCTCTTTTTTTTTGTCAATTTGTAGAGCGCCTTGTATTCAATTTAGAGCAAAATAAAGTCTAGAAAGGCAATATCCCAGCCGCGTTTTCTACATCCCCCATAATTCTTATTTCTTACAGATTGAGACGCAACGATCTTGTCTTGAGAAAAGTGATAGACGCACGAGCGATAATGAAAGGCAATCTCTTTCAGGAACTTTGCATCAAGTGAGATTCGATACGATTTCGTGTACGGGCAGCAGTTTTATAATCGGTGATATTGGACATTTCAAACATCATATTTGTTATTAATAACTTGTTTAATTAAATAGAGGAAAGGGTCTATCTAAGTAATTAAAAATTCAATCGACAACGTTTGTGATTTAGAATTTCTACTTTAAAAAGGAAAAGAGGAGATTTATCATTTACAATTGAAGAGATTATATCGATTTGTAATTTTGAACTTATATTTTCTTATCTCTTTAATTCGCAAGCATTAGTGCAGAGTAATTTATAAACGTTTATTCGGCAATTTTTAATATCTCTATCATTTACGTTAAAGTAAAAGTATAAAAGCCTAGATAATGACAAAAATGTAGCATATCTTCAAGAATGACAGAAGATAGAAGTCGGAGTCTTTGAGGACTGAGCTTCTTCGGAAATCATTTAATTACTGTTTCCGCATACTAACTAATTCAATTTTTTGCAGGTGCTGCAATCGGCGATGTAAATCTCCGTGCGGAAGAAGAGTCATGAAGTTTCATTACTCAGAAACGTGAAATCGACGAAGGATAAGAAGAATACTCGAGGAAATGTAATTAGTAAAAATAAAGAGATACAAGAAAATTAATCCACGAACATTAATACCCTAATCCCGATATTGATATTGCTTTCCTGATTACATTTTATTTAAAGCAGACAAATTTAATTATGAGTTTCAGAGAGAAAGCGTGATGTCAAAGGAAACCGGCAAGACAGGAGTACACAAGAAAGTTCTACGATTTGTCGTCAATAACTACATCTAGAATCTCTCCAGTACGTGTGATAAAATAACAGTAGCAGGATTTTAACTTTGCATCTTGACGAAGAAGAATATTTTAGAGTCATGTAGCGTGTTAAGGAAAATAACCCAATGTTTGCTGATTCTAAAATCTTCTTTCATTCCGATGTAAAGTTACTATTCAAAACTGATTTCATTTTATGATACGTTGCCTTCGGATTTCACAAGAGATCGCGACATAACGATTCACACTTCACACACGTTTCATCCAGGGACTTTCTCAGCTATAGACATTCGCGAGAAGGTCCCCCTACAATGAGTAGATAATTATTGCCGTCGTCGAGAGTCATTCCTGTCCCTCGATCCCGCTCCCGACTCCACATGCTCGTTGTTGCTAAGCTTGAGATCTTGAATGTCGTTTTTTTTTGTTGGCATGGCCCGCGCCGTTGTAAAGAGTACAGTAACCACGCGTGGCCCCCGCCTGAACCGGGGGGCACCGCGCATGTACAGCCAACAGATCGCCAATACTAATCGTACCGTCGACACGTCTGCTTGCGTCTTTTACAGGTTTCTTCGCCGGCCTCGGTTGGACCGGCGACGGCTCGCGGCGCGTCTCGAGGAGCGCGAACTCCGCGACGACGACGTCGTCATCGACGGCTGCGAGCGACGTGCCGGCGCCGCTGACGCCGCAGCGTCGTCCTCGGCTGCACTGTCCGTCGCGGCACGCGACCAGCCGCAACAACAATCACCCCAGCATCAGCAGCAGCGGCGGCGGCGGCCTGGTGCATCACGATCGCCGGCACAACTGCTCGAGATGCGGTAAGAGCTACAAGAACGCGTACATCCTGAAGCGGCACTTGCTGTACGAGTGCGGCAAGGCGCCGTCCTTCAGCTGCCCGCACTGCGCCTTCAGCTCCAAATACGAGCGCAACCTCAAGGCGCACATCAATCACCGGCACGTCGATCTACAGCCGGCGCTATCCGGCATCGTCGTCGGTCAGCGGGAAACGCGTCACCAACACGGCAGGGAGTGACTCGTCAGAGTCCTGCGAGGTCGCGATGTAAAACGAGAACGGTATTTTTGATAGGATCTGAGATCGATTGCGGCCGCAATTCGCGGTTGAGGCTGAAGACACGAGCCAAAGTCCGAGTGTCAAATTTACGTCAAACTTGTACCGATGACTATTATTCAGATATTCGCAAGATGTGAGAAATTTGTGATATTTAAGGAATGAATACGAAAAACGGCAAATTTCTTGTGCAAATATCTGAATGATATACTTTTACAATTTGTGAACATTGAGTCCCTAATGGACTCAAAAATATCAGCTTTTTTACTATTTTTCGGAGATATGCTTTTTTATATTGCCTATTTTATCACGTTTTATTTTATCGAGCTTATTATTGCTTGTAAAAAATAGTTTGCAAATGTTTTATTTATTTATCCACCCTGAAAAAAGAAATTTGGAAAATATTTATTTTATTCAGACTTTTAATTTATTTTCTATATATTATTGTTTATGTAACGGGTAAAAATATGTTGTATAATTCGCACGTCTCTGGGCTAATTAGTCGCATAGTCGTGCGATAGTAGTTGTACGACGAACTGATTTTGAGTTTTCGTAAGCATGCTGATTAAGTTCTAATTAAGTTAATTATAAAATATAACATTATATATTCGCGTTCTCATAGCCAAAGTGTGTGCCAAAAATTAATTTAACTTGTAAGTCTTTTAAATTATGCTCTCTTTCTATTTTTCATATTGCCTATTTTATCGCGTTTCATTTTATCGAGCTTATTTTGCTTGTAATGGTGATTTAATTCCCGTGTGACGAGTAATTTAACATAAGACGGATATTTGAGAAATCTATACCAAAAGGATGCGTTTTTGTCTGGCACTGGAACGTTAGCGATGTGCATTACATAAGACAATATGTATTTCAACCGCTAAATATTAGGATTTTAAAAGTCCCTTGTTCAATGTTTATTTTTCAGAGTAAGATTACGGCGAAGCTTATTTGCCGCCTGTACGATATTATATAGAATGAAAGGACAAGGAGAGATAAGCGTTTTAACTAAGAAAATGATAAAGTAAATGTTGAAAAAAAAAAACCATTAGTGATCCGCCACCATGGCGCGAAGTTAGTACTTGTTGGTTCCCGTTTAACGATATATAAATGGATAAAAAGTCAAATAAAAACATTGTTGAATATTGCAAACTTATGAATGTGTGCCAAAAAAGTGTGAGAAAATCGCGTTCTGTTGTATTTTTCAATAATTAACTCTATCACAATTAATGACACGAATATCTGCCGCCAAACATCGCGGGACACAGATCTTCATTTTTCGAGCGTCTTATACGCTCCCCACTTTTTTCCAAATCAGTCTGAAGATACAGTAATTAAAAGTAATTCGTTTAAAAAAAAGACACTTTTTTGGGACATCTTCGAGTTTTTTGCAGATGGCTAAATTGTGCCCAATTATTTTTATACTAATTATAAGTGATTACGAGAGTCGCTAGTGAGATCTGACTGTAAGGTGCTTCCACCTTAATCGTCAGTCAAGCAGAGCGAAATTCTCGACGCAACGAAACACCCCCCGACACACGTAGATTACCGATCCTAGCTATCTAGTTCAGCTTAGTTTAAGGATTGTTAATCAAGTCTAGTCAGACCAGTCTTTTCTCGTTGTCTTCGGGCGATGATCTATGAACGATAAAAAGAGATCTTGGTGGCATGCATCTGTATATCTGTCTATGTGCATATATGTATACATATAATATGCATATACACACATTTTTGGTGAGTGAATAAATTTCTCGCACCTGAACTGATATAAACAAAACTATTGGCAGTGCTATTAACATTACTATACATACATCGATTGCTAATTATTGGCAATGTAATGAAATCTTAATACTCGGAAATATTTGCAATAATTACGCAGTAAAAAATAGGTGGAAATTGTAAGATGGTACAATTCACATCTACAATAGATGAATACAGAGCAATCTATCCTTCTGTTAATATCCTTTTTCGACGGATTGTACCAAGATTTCTGATATTTGAGTGTCGAAAGTACATTCATTGTTACCGCCCGAGACAAGATTAAATAATCCTTGTCTATCGTAGAATTGTGTGTAGATTGCGAACTAGATAATAGATAATAGATACATGACAAAAATTTTCCCATAACTCAAAAATATAATCGTTGGAGATTCAACGTTTTGCAACGTAAAGACAAAATTGATATCGAAAGCTATATTTAATACATAGGAAATTCATTAGTCGTGTTGGTTCGCGTCTTTCTATCTGAATTAGAATCGTCTAGTCTAAAAAACGGCCTAAGCAGGTCAGATACATACACAAAATCTAACTCCATATTATTACATTCAAGATAGAGAATATATTTAAATCAAAAAAGGTACATATATCGTATGTATTATATATATCATATACATACATATTATACGTATGACATAATACTGATAATTTGCAATGATATATTACGACATAAATTATAAGCCATTTACTCTGCAAAAAAGGACCCTTCTTGGTCGGGACAAATAACCGATTAAACTCGTTTGTCATCCATTTCAATGGAAGATTTATGACTTCATAAATAACATATTAAATTAAGTACAATCAAGTGATTTTAATTTACAATTTTGAAGTTTCTTTATACACAACTTGTACAATAATAGACTTGCTTTCTATAAATTAGATTAGACGGAATTACTGCTGCAGAACATGTGTGTAAGATAATATTTTCTTAAAAGTATAGGAAGTTCGATAAACGCGAAATCATATATAAAACGAAGGTTTATGTTCCTTTTCTTTCGTCAAAACTGATGTAGTTTTTATTCTGTCCGCCACGAGTAATTAATTAGTTATTCATTGCATTGACTTCCGCGAATTATTCTAAAAATTAATAATAAAAATGTCGATCGATTACAACCGATGTAAATACCAATACAACGAGGCGACGCAAGCATCGTTTCAGAAATCGTAGTCTTGAAACGTTTGCGAGAATTTTGATAAAATAATTCGCGCGTGAGCCTAACATATGAGCTTCCTTCGAGATCCAACGAATTCGAGAAGACATGGAATCAAGGACCAAAGGATCGACAGAGAACTTTTTTATCCTAGTCAAGCCTTGTCCCGACCAAGAACAAGTGATTATAGGACAACCTTAGGAATATTGAAGATCTCGTATTTATTCTACAGTTCTAGAAGATCTTTGAGTGTTATCCTCTTTCTCTCTTTCTCCGTCTTTCTCTCTTCCCATATTTATCTTCTCGTACCTATCTATTTTTCTCTTTGTGCTAGAAATTCATAATCTCGAGCTAAGCTCTTTCCTATATCTTGAAGAAGTCTCGAATAATCTCAATTTAGACGTCATATCGACGATCGATCTGTATCTATTCGCATTGATCTATCGACTATCTTTGAACTGAACTCACTCGATTGTCCGATATTTCACGATCACGATCGGTATTCCTGATACGAGACCTAATTGTTTGGATCATCGACTGCGACATAGCGCAATGAAAAATTCAATCAGCAAATATCACGGATTTTTCGCGCGAAATATCGATCGGGATTGCTCCGTGAAAGAAAAAAAAAGAACGCGCGACTGCGGACCTCTCAGCTTCCACGTGCTCCTCCTCGTTGACTTTGAAAATTTCGAAAGGATCTTACGCACACGTCCGGGCGATCTTTCCGCTGACTCGTGTCGTCCTGTATTTTTCCTTTCCTCATCTTTCTTTCTAAAAACGATTTACTGATAAGGGGATTCTCGTGTGTCGTCCAAATCGACTCCATGTGCCTAAAAATGTGATCAAAACACGCTGTTGTAAAATGCGACGCTCGTGCGTTGCATCGTCTAGTTTCTTGTTGTACTACTGGGATTCATCCCATTCCCGCGTATTATCATCCTTCCGTTTTCGGAGAAAGCGAATACTCTGATATTCGGCACAAATAATTTATAGGAGCGAACAGCAAGTTATATTCGATAATATCTGTTTCAGCAATAAAATCAAAATAGACAACATTTTTTACTATGTGTAGGACAACGGAAATTTACATACATGACATTCTAGAGTCCAAGGAATGCTTTCTTTACTACCACAGAAACCTCTATTATTAATACAGATTTACAGATACAGTCAAATTTGTTATTTTATGGAAAAATTTATAAATCCGTGTTTGTGTTAACGTATAAACACGATCAAAAATAACAATTTTGTTAAAAATACAGCGACGAAATTGCAAATTATTACAAGCATGTTTTTCTAATTAGTATGAAAGAAAATCAAGTCTCTACGTCTAATTACGACGCAACGGACAAAATTTTATGCGCATTATAAAAGTACGATGTTAATCCAACAATAAATTTTAATTTTTCTTTCAGAGAGAGAATAGACAGTTGTAACGTTTTTATAATGTTTTTTTTATCAATTGATGCGAAAGTAAAATTGAAGATAGTAAAATGTTTTCCACATGTCACGTGGCAGAAAAACTTACGAGAATAATTCCGGGGCTAAGTGGTTGCATTTATCTGTTGTAATTTTTCATATACGTATACGCGCAGAATGCGATCGACGTTGTTATATATACGGTGATTAATGCAGCGTAACATTCGACCCCATACGAAATGTGAAAGCGAACGGAATGTGTCTTCCAAGTTTTCCATGTTATCGAAGCAGAGTAGAGCCAAAGTGCAGCACGAGAGAGGGGAATTCTGTTTTTCGCGCGATTTTGCGATTAGATATGCGAGAGCAAAACGGAATATACAGTGAAGGAAAGACTGAAAATAGACAAAAAAACAGTGGGAAGGAAAGTGCGAGGTGAGAGGTATACATTTGTTATTAACGCGTGGACAATGCGAAACACACGTGCGACTGTCTCATCGATCTGTGTTACAACTGTCCTCTCGCATGTCGACTAGAAATTTTCCATTTACAATTTCTCAAGTCGTGAAATTAAATTCTGAATATATGCCAGCACTTACGTTAACGATTATGTCTAATTATTTTAAAAAATCTTATAGTTGCAAAGTTCGTCTAGTAAAATTAATTTAATGGGTTGATATTTAATAACATCGTCACGGAAGTTCGAAAATAGTCACTTTCAAATAAAATAGGATAGCGATGTTGGCGATCGTAGCGAATTTAAGGCACATAATCGAATATAATGACGTTGATGAAATTAATGGTAATTTCTGTCGCCCTGCGAGACGTAATCGAGAAATGAATTATAATTAATTCGCACGCATTCGCGTTTATCTTGCGATTTTTGTGCCAATGTACGTGAGGCCAGCTATTATGCAATACTCGAGTCATCGTGCAAGCCAATGAAGAATGGCTGTACACGAGATGCCTATAGAATTATTTTGAAGTCACCTTATATATAGATATAAGAAAATAAAGAACTATATATATATACATATATATACATATATATGTATACTATACAGAGATGAAAAAGCAAAGATTCTATATACATATATTATATATATATACACGTATATAAATACACGTAGCACACGCGCAACTATATATGTAAATATGCATTATAATACATATATATATATATATATACGTGTATGATTTTGGACACGCGGGCGAAACAAGTCCAAAGGGGCAACGCGAAACCAAAGAGATACCTCTAGTTGTTAAGGTGATTGATGATAATAATTAGTACGTAAGCGTTTTGGCTCCTCTCCTTTGTTGGGAGCTCTTCCGGTTACATAACTATATGAATAGAGGACAAAAAATATAACGGGAATTCCACCTAACACCACAGTGCAGCGATTTTTTATACTGCGGCATTTTAACAGTATAAAAAAGATTGACGTGTTGTAAACTGCGTTGTAAAATGATCATAAATTGCAATTTTCCTATATGTATTTCGTTTTAAGAGTGCACGTCACGGCTCTACATAAAAATGTTCGAATAATTCCCGTATTCTCCGCTCTCCTTTTCGCAAATCTATGGTACAAGTGGTGTTATGCAGAATTCGCGTTAAAAAATGGCGATACAATATTACTGAATAAACGGCCGAGAAAAAATGCGTAATATTGTTCATTAATGTAATATGTCCAAGATATATCTACGATTTGATTAATCCCATTAGATCATGGGTTGATTGCGCGACTTATGTCCATTTCTATTAATATAAATTAACTTTAATCGCGGTTTAACATACTTTTCATCTCTTTCTAGTTCTTAAAACTAGAGAAAGATAAAAGGTGAGTTAAACCAAGATCAAAGTTAGTCTGCATTAGTAAAAACAGTTATTAGGCCCAGTTGCACCAACGTCGTGTAGCTTTAAGCTTATATAGCTTAACTCACTCTTCATCTCTTTTTAACAATCCCCTTTAGAAAGAAACGAAGAGTGAGTTAAGCTAAGGTTAAAGCGACGTTGGTGCAACCGGGCCTTACACTTACATTACTCGAGTTCATGTTTTTTTTTTTTAAATACCTGTCTATGCTTTTCATATGTAATATCTATGTATTTTACGTTATATGATTTGATTGATGATTGTTTATAATATCAAACGCGGCCTGCATAGTATTGCCGACTTTTGCTTTACATGCATACAACTTATTTACGAGCATTATATGTGTAAAGTCCCCCCATTATAAGATAGGCTCCTAATATGCGATAGCGAGGTCTCTGCTAAACTAATAGGTTCTATCTGTTGGTTCCATCATGAACTTATTGCCCTTGGAGTAAAACCTATTTAGTGGAAAATTCATTATTCGATCGTGCGTGCACTCGCCTACTACAGTTTTCAGTTCTACACATGAACTTTTGGCAATCACGCAAAATAGATGTGGTATCTCATAATAGGGGACTTTCCTCTATATTCTTTTTAATTTACTTTTGTGAGCAGTTTAAATCATATATAATTATCACCAATTGTGAGTGTATCATTAATAATCGTTGTGTTAGCGAGAATACTCGACAAATAATAAAGAAATAAATTTAATTATTCAGCCAGATAGATTTCGTTCACGTGGCGTGCTAAACTATTTTTATCGTCAATTTATCTTTCCCTATTATTTTATAACTTCTACGATATCTTGTTCATTTGTCATATGTGATTCGCGATTATTTAGTAAAATTGATTAATTTTACTTTATATCCACACAATATTCCAAATTTTCCATTTGAAATGATGATTTTATCTCACCAGTTTATTTCTCTCTATTAATTTTAATTGATTGTATGTGGTGGGTTGTATGGTTTTCAGGAAATCATTTCTTGTATGGAACATATTGTACAGGAACGTTTAATGTACATGTTTGTGTGAAATAAACAATTTTACTCCTTTTGTCGATGAAGAAATTATCGCATAAACTTGAAATATATATATATATATATATATATATTTTTTTTGTATTAAATTTCTTGTGTCACAAAACTTTCCATTATAAATTCAATAAATTTCTAAAACTATATATATATATATATATGTATAGTTTTAGATATATATTATAAAGAAATATATATCTCCATATATATCTACAATATATATACATATATGGGAAAATTGTGATAAAAAAAATTTAGTACAAAATAATAATTTCAAAATATCGTAAATTTGCATTTATATTTATATATAAGGCCAATTCCTTTTAGTGACACAAGTCGACACAAGTGTCGTTCTGTCTTTGTCATTCATTGAATGCCAAGAAGGATAGAATGATGTTTGTGTCGACTTGTGTCACTAAAAGGAATTGGCCCATAATTGTTTCATGTCGCGTAAAGTGAATTACATCAGAAAATAATATGTGAAACTAACACATATATATATATATGTTACAAATAAACCGAATATCCTTATACATGCAATATCTTTTTTAAGCAGATATTTATTCATCATATTAACTGATTTACGTTATAACTTCCTGTTCTTATCGTACTGACATGTTTTTCGTATTCTGTATTTTCAGGTCGAAGGCAGTGTAATTGTGGACGTCGTTTCAAGAGAGATTTTTCTCTCTACTGTCATCTACAACACGAATGCGGATCGAAATATCATTGTGGATATTGCTCATTTGAATCATCAAAATTGCGTGACTGGTACAGCCACGTAAAAAGAGTGCACGGCCATGAAATAAAAATGAGCAATGATTAACAATATTCACCAAAATTGTTATTAAATCAAAACTATTTTTTTTGTTTCTTTTTCATTATTTACCGAAATTGTTATTAAATCAAAACCATTTTTTTTTGTTTACTGCTCAAATGTAAAATGTAACATTTTGGAATACGTCTCGTATATTTCACATGTGTTTCAGAATTTGCTTGCCTTAAAATAGCATTTACAATAATATTTCTTCATTTAAAAATAAACTTTTTATGTACAAGATATTTTCTCTTATACCAGCTATTATCTAAACAAATCAAATATCCTACAACCGTCTTCAATTGAGGCTTTTTGCTTTTGAATGTCAATTTCTATTAGTAATACGACGATGTGCGAACTATTTTTATATATGTTTCAAATAAATAAAGTGTGATCTCATGCATCTATTGAATTACTTTATATTAACAATTCTTTAATAGTGCAGCAGCTTCCCGTATGATCTCTCGATTTTAAAAGTAAAATCTTCGAATAATAGATTCTTCATCCCAATTACTTTGCGCTTGTAAGATATCTAATGGTTATTCTCACGCGCATGGACCTATTTGATTGTAGGCCGCCAGCGTCGTCATCATCATCATCATGATCAGGATAAAAACAAGCCCTTCAGTTGCAACCGCTGCGGCAGAAAATACAAATGGAAGACGTCTTTACATTGCCATCAAAGGGACGAATGCGGCAAGGAGCCGCAGTACAAGTGCTACTATTGCCATTACAAGACGAAAATACGATCGAATTGGATTCGTCATGAGAAAACTCACACAAATCCTAAACGCGGGCGCAAACTGTCTAAGATTTTAATAGCGTTGTAAATAATGTTTTCAATTGGAAAAAAATATAAAAAATGGGTCCAGTTTTATAATCACTGAAAAATTTCAATCACATTTTAATTGTATTTCAATTGTAAAAACAACAACGATGTATGAAAAATTAATTGTTAGAGATAGATTTTTTGTATATCATGAATGAGTAAACAGAAGACTTTAAATGTATCCACAATCTAAATAGCTTTAGAAAATTTAAAGTTAGCAATAATACAATAATACACCCACACACAAGATTAAGTTTTACAAAAATTGTATGAAAATTCCTTGTTTTTTAAAGACAAAATATCTCTAATTGTAAGTCTATTGATTTTCGTTCCTTAATTTTTATAGATTTTTAGAGCATAGGCACGTTAATTCTTTTCGAGTTTTCAATTATTTAAAATTTTTTTAAGCAAAATTTTGTTAATAAAAATTATTTAGCTTTTTGTTTGCATAATTTATCACATTTTTTTATTTACTCATTTTAAGTGATTAGTTATTCAATATTATACAGTTTTATATCTGTGTAACAGATGGACATACAATACCTATTATTTTGTATAGATATAAAATTGAAAAAAATTATTACACAACCGTAATTTTTTAATTTATCCAGGATAGATACATATATACGCGAAAATGAACAATAATTCTCGTTGAGAGCAATTATGCACAACAATACTTAAATTATCAAGCTTATACAATATAAAACATTAATCTGAAATATATACACATTTAATATGTAGAGAGTGTAGAAACTTAACAATCTTGGCCAAAGATTTAAGTAATTATTAACTATTTAAGCTACACAGAAGTATATGTGTTATATTATAAGCCGATGATTCTCCGATACAATTTTTAGTCATTTTTTATGCTTATTGTTTATACTAGATTTTCGTAAACTCCTAAATTTAAGAATGTTAGAATAATATATGTTCTAGTACCTACGCATTACACGTTACCTCAAAATTAATATGAGTTATTTTCTTGTCATAATATTAATATCCTGAATATTTTACGAGATATAGCCTATGCATCAATTATTATGAAGTTTAATGACTCATTATCATATGTCTGTTAATATTGATGTTTTAGGATAACGACTTAGGCTGCGTTCGTCCTGACGCTTTTAGAGTGATGCCCACAGCGCTGAAAGCGTCAAGACGAACCCAGGCTTTAGTAAAGCGATTACTTTACTTTTCCCGAAAATTATTAAGTAATTAAGAAAGAACATTATGCTAAGCTCACAGATGTCTATACTTAATTAGATCGCTAACTTCTTTGTTTTGGCTATGGAAAAACTGTGATCGGCTGGCAGTTATATTACCTATAACTTAATGGCGGCAGTACGTGTGTGTGTGTGTATGTGATACCCGGGGGACATGTGTTAGTGATCACATACGCACTAACACACCGCTTTAGTTGTAGGTAACGCGGAAATCCCGCCGACACACTTTTTTTGACGAAGTTAGTGATGTAGGTAAGTATAGACATCTGTGGCTAGGCCATGAGTTCAACGTGCTCATAGTAACATGTACAAATACATAAATCATTGTCTGATTTATACATGATAATTTGGTTTGTTATTCATAAACGATTTTTAGGAAGCTGAATTGTACTTATACTTATATTTTCTAAATATATCTTTTAGAAAAATGGCAGAGAAAAGTTATTGGCTTGTATTATAATGTAGGTTAATATCGTATGTATTTGAAAGAAAAATTACCTTTCGAAAAATTAAATATAAAACATTTAAAAACTAAGATTGATGTTAAAATTGAGATTGGTTTTTTTGCAATATGTTTGTAAGTTATAATTTCATAAATCAAAATTTAATATAGTGTAGGATTTAAAAATATATAGCTATTAAAACCGCACAATAATATTAAAATAAATTTAGTTAAATATATCTGTGATTTGGAGTAACCAACATTTTCTTTATCAGGTAACTTATCATGATATTAATAAAGACTGTAAGATTAAGGCAGATCACAAAGTAATTCGATTTCGTTGTTACGATATTCGAATGCAAAAATATATCTTGATCGGTTACATTTCTTTTTATTGTGATGGTAAAAATAAAAAGAGATATCTGTGTATGCAAATATAAAAATTTGACAACAATATTTATTATCTTACTTCTTGTTTAATGAAACTATTATATTTTTCTATTATTAATTTTTATTTATATCTCTCCTTTTTACTCCCTCCAGAAATTCTTGAAAATAAAATATACGATAAGCTATATCTTAAAAATTATGAGAAATTATAAAAAAAATTTTGTAAAAATGCGTAGCACAAATTTGTTTCAAAAACGTTCGTAATCTTTACTTTATTCTATATCTATATTGCAAAATTGTTCCCTCGATTTTATGCAAACTTTCAGTATTTGTTCTATTTGATATTTGTCACAGAAATGTTAATTGTGATGTGATATCTTTACTAAAACTTGGTGACTTTAATTTCCGCTTCGTTGATTTACAGATTTAAAAAAATTAAAACAATTAATGAAATTATTAACAACTTTCTTACAATATCTATTTGTATCGCTGTTATACGACATAGTTATATATTTCTTTGTTTATTTTTTAGATAAACTTAAACTTTATCTGTAGTTTTTTTTCTATACAGCGTTGATTTCTGTACCAGATTTCTGTATGGATGCGATTTAATCGCGATCATAGATTGCGACATATAATGCATCTATGCGCTTTAATGACAACTAAGGAGCAGTTCTTTTTCGTCGTGCTGCACATAAGTCTTTGGTAAGTAGGAGAAAACGCGAGTGTGTAACTGATCTGATCGATCGATTACTTTTTTTTCAGGTGATGCCAGGCATGCCAGCGGAAAACCGGCCTGGTGCAGAGTGAATTTACATCAACAAATCTGTCTGACAATGAGATCTACGCAACGACTACGACAATGCGGTCGAAGTTGTGCGCAGCTTTTATATACGTTTTGAAGAAATCATATATGACTGACTATACCTGTATATAATTTTAAAGTTAAGACTTGTAATTAAGTAAATACTTTGTCCTATGTTGTTTTTTAAGATTAAATAAATATAAAATGTATTAAACTGCACGCAATTATATATTACGATCTTATAGTAAATTTTAGTAATACGGTGCGGCATTGTCAAGATAAAACATTTTGTAAATAATATACACGACTAAGAAACGCACGATTAAGAAAAGTGCGTGTTAACCCGATGATGATCAATATGGTGATTTCGCTTCTAAAAATTTTTGTGGTTAAAACATGGTGGAGGATTTCATAATAGCTTTATAACCATTTATATTTTTTATATTATCGTGAATATGTTTTCCCAGTCCTTTCCGATATTTTGATACGTACACTGAGAAAAAAAATTTTTGCATTTTAGTAAATATTAGTTTGCATACAACTGTGGGTCCATTTATTAAAATAAAGAAATTTTTCGTTTTTATTAGTCTATATATATTTTTCTTAGTGCATACACATATACTAATAAAAAGGACAATTCTCTTCATTTTAGTAAGTGGAGTCACAGAGAGAGTTGTATGCAAACTAATATTTACTATAAAATGTAGAAAATTTTTTTCTCAGTGTATATTATTGTGTTCTAGATAAAATTTTATATCATAAAAAAAGGAGATAAAAATTATTCAATAAAAGGAATGAAAATAACAAGAAAATGTTTAAATTCCGAATTATCTTATTTTTTATTATAATATAAATATTAATTTATTTTATTCCATGGAAATATCTTGCACAATTAATAATTAGTATCCATTAGTATCTATTACAGTGATGTATTAAGAACCATTATATTGATAATGTAAAATGCTAAACTAATGACTTATATATTTATGCAAAATTTTTGTTAATAGTAGATTTTTATCCTGTTTAACATATCTTATATCTGTATAATACAACAATATTCGTTGTTTGCTTATTGCGCGAATATGTATAATGCGAAAATTTTTGTTACGAGTGTTCCTTCTTTCCCAGCATTTCAAATTTTTAGTTGAGAGCATCTCAACATTGTGTTACCTAATTAATACAGAACCTCGTTTAGTTATCAGGTGATGGCATACTCATTGACTGATGAACGTTTTAGCGAATTAATGTGTGTTAATACTGAACGTTATTCATTCTACATGTTATGACTTTCACAACCAAGTTTTTTTACCTGAGTCTGAATCAGTCAAACGATTTCCGCGATTTATTTGATTGCCATTAATCTCTTTGTCGTTTTCAGTTATCAAGTATACAATGACTGGCAAATCGATGTCTCAGAAATCGTTCGTCTGCGAACTCTGTGGTAAAAGCTACGTTTGGAAGATCTCTCTGACTCGACATATACGAGAAGAATGTGGTAAACCGCCGCAATTCAGATGCAAGTACTGTGGAAAGCTATTTAAGCAACGCAGCAGCTTTCAACGGCACTCGAAGAGGAAGCACGTCACCTACCAGAAGATATAGCGATCTCCGCGAAAACATACAAAGAAAATAAAGCTCGAAAAGTCAAGATCAATCGATTGAGATGAAACGGAAAATTGTTATCAACAGTTACGCTGGATGTGGCGATCAAGAGAAAATATTTTTCTTGAAATGATCTCTTCTAAAGAAGATAAAAAGAAAGGCTATGAAGAAAAAGTACACAACATCGAAGATGGGAAAAAAGTTTATATCGAAAAGAAGTCTCACATATTATTTATTCTCTTTAAGTACATAAAGAAGAAAATAAGAGAAAACACTTTTTTGTGTATTTATCAAAATAAATGATCAATTATTCTTATAGACTCAAAAACTTCAAGTATTAAGTGTTAATTTTATTCTTACTTACTTTTATTTTTATAAAATTGTTTAAAATAACTGAGTTTAATTATATTTAGTTGAGCGTTATCATTCCTTTTCCTTTTTTGTTTAATTTGTTACAGATTTTATAGAATATTTTTATCATCACCATAAAAGAAATATACAACAATACATCGAATTAATCTTTTTAATAATCGAATTCTTACTCGCTCTCAATGTTTCTCATATGGATCCTTGAACCATTAAGCTATAATAAAAATACCTACATTTGTTACCTAAATTCGCTTTATGTCACCTGCAAATCAGTTAATAACTCGGAAGATTGGTCGTGGAGATATTCGAACAGTTCTTATCAAAGAATATAAGAATCATTGTCATTTGTTGGTTCTTTGTTCATATCTTTGTTTATGTTTTGAGTTTTGTCTTTCCTAAAAAGAACTTTCCTGAAGTCACGATAAAGTCACGGGACTCATTGTGATTCTCAAGATGCATTTTTCAAGCATCGTGAAGCGATGCTCTGAAGAGGAAAAAGTTATAAGTTTCGAAGATTTCGATTTGAAGAATTAGGTACTTCCACGTAGTTTTTGTCCGATTATTTCTTAATGTCTAATAACTGGCTCTCGTATTATTGTGCTTTTTTAACTGATTCGCAATTTTTTCATGTGCTTCACAGGCGAAAAGGAAATTGCAGACAAAGAAACGATATCAAACCCGACAGTTCGCGTTCATAAATGTCTTACAGAAGCAGTATCTATAAGAATCTTCTTATAGATGCTGCTTCTGCAAGACAATTTACGCAACTTCTATCCTGCGTTTACGTAAAAAATAAATCTCGACCATCATTCTCCCGGAAAGATCATCAACGATATCTGATCTACTTCTTCATTTTTTCAGACTGGATCGTAAAATATGCTTCCATGACATAAATCATAGATTTATTTTATGAAAATTGCAGGTCACATTTGTATCAACAAAGATATTTGAAAAAAGACTTGTAAATAAAGGCATGATGGATAAAGCAACATTTCAGTCATAATATTATACCATTTATTTCCTCTGCCACTTGAAGATTAACAGGGATGCCGGCGAGACAGAAATTCTACATAGGAAAACATCTGGAAGACTAACTTTAATTTTACCAATTAATTATCTCTTTTATTAATGCAATTTTCAGTAATGTCGTAATACGCGTATGGAGAATTAACAGTACTAACGCCGCGGAATATAGAAACCTTCCGATAGTTTTCACATATTAATTTACATTCATAGTGATTCTACCGCGGGCTTCGAAGAGATTCATCCATGCTTTTAAAGCTCACGCACGCTTCCTTTTCCGTTTCGCTTCGTCAAGACTAAACCTGATAACTTATTCGTTTCCGTTCTATAAATTTCAGCCAAGCCGTTCCCTTGCCACAATTGCAAAAGGAGCTACAAGAACAAGGGAAGTCTGAAACGCCATTTGGAAGTCGAGTGCAACAAGCCTCCGAAACACTATTGCATACCCTGCGCAAAGGGTTTTAAGCAGAAATGCAACTACCAACGTCACGCTGAAACCGTCCATGGCAAGATTTCCTCTCGCGGGAATCGCGTCGCCGGCGTCGCATTACCAAAGAGCAGCTGGAAACACAACCCTCATATGTATTCGGAACTTGGGCCGCCGTGTTACTTCGAGGACAAGGCACCACCCGTGGCAATCGTGAGCGCCCACACACACTCACACTCTCTTACTCGCAACCGCCACCCGGACTCGCATAAAAAGCGAAAGCTCAGTTCACAGAGAAATTACCCGTTTATTGACAATTTGTCTACAGATTCGACACCGCAGGCAAATATGTTCGAAAGCTCGGGACCGAATAAAAAGCGAAAGCTCAGTTCACAGAGAAATTACCCGTTTATTGACAATTTGTCTACAGATTCGACACCGCAGGCAAATACGTTCGAAAGCTCGGGACCGAATCTCCATGGCGTTATTTGTGAACAGCAGCTCATTGTCATGGAACGCTTCGCGACACGATGATTCGGTATGGAGCGTCGGCGTAACAGCTGCTCCTGAAGATGAGCGAGCAACTCTGAAGATTTTCTATCTAGATATAGATAGTCCTTGCTATTTGACAGAGAGGGTCCACTACACTAAAAAAAAAAAAAAATACTTAGATCCAAGAAAATATTTTTTCACATAGTACTAATGGCTTATTTACTTAATATAATCACATATCTATTTAGAATTAGATATCTTTACTTAAATTAAATAGAGGTCGGTAAGGAGAGAATATTTAGCCTGGCATATGCGGACGATGTGGTGATTATAGCGAAGAAAGAAGCTATGGAGGATATGATGGCCTCTCTAAAAAAGTATTTGAAACGAAAAGATCTAATTTTGAATAATGAAAAATAAAAAATCCTGGTGTTTGAGAGAGGGAGAGGAAAAAGGAAGCGAAGAACTTGGAGATGGGGCGATAAACGAATTAGTTAAGAAGGGAGGGTTCGCGATGCGTCAGATTTGGGGATTTGGAGAGAGAAATTTTAGTAATAGTTTTAAGAAGAGAATGTGGCTGTTTGAAAGGCTAGTCGAGAGTCTGATATCTTATGGTGCTGAAATTTGGGGTATGAAGGAATGGAAAGGTATAGAGAATTTACAAATTAAATATATTAAATGGGTGTTAGGGCTGGATACTTGGACGTTGAACTATATTATTTATGCGGAAACTATGAGAGACAAACTCCTTTTAAAGACCGTTTGTAGGGCTCTAAACTTTGAAGACAAAATTGAGACCGGATGCATTACACTGTTAAAAGAATGCTTGAAAGAGAAAAACGATAAAAACTGTAGAATAAAGAGGCGCGATCACAAGAAAAAAATTATTGATGGAACCCGGGTATAGTTCAGCGGGAATAATTGAATTAAAAAGCAGAGGATTAAACGTAAGTAGAGAAATAGTTAGGAAGTTGCGAGATATGATTAATCAGAAAATATTCAATGATATTCAAAAGTCGAAATATAATGTAAGATACAAATTGATATGTAAATTTAAATTACCGAGATATCTCAGCGTGAGCAGAGAGAAAGGCGTGCAAAGGATGGTATAGCGAGAGTAAGATGTGGGAACGCAGAGGAATGTAATAAATATTGGCTGAATGAGGAGGCGAGAAAGTGTGTTTTCTGTAAGGAAAAATTAGGGAACCTGGAACTTTTTCTAAAAGACTGTACTAAATTTGAGAAATCAAACCTGGAAATCAGAGAAATAACGGATGGAACTTGTAAACCTGAAAGCGTAGATTGGAGAAAGAAAAGAAAAGCGTCCTATTAAGGGATATTAAATGAAAATTTAGAATGGCGTGCGTGCCGGTGAACTGCGTTAAATTGGAGCGGCGTTATTGTTGTTGATGTAGGTCCATTTCATGGCCATATAAGCTGAAATAAAACTTATTTATCTATCTATCTATCTATCTATCTTGTGGTCACAAGATGCCACAAGACATTTACTTAAATTAAGTAAAAATATCTAATTCTAAATAATTATGTGATTATATTAAGTAAATAAGCCATTGGTACTATGTGAAAAAATATTTTCTTGGATCTAAGTATTTTTTTTTTTTTCAGTGTAGAAGAAAATATAATCGTCTGGAAGATGTATTGTATCTTGCGTTAAATTGCGGACTGATTAGAGTCTAACAATAAATAATTATGTAGAACTTCAAGGGAACTATAAAGCGTTCCGCTATTTTAAAAGTATATACGAGATTTAAGAATATAATGATTTGAATTATTACTGGCCATATTTTATAGTGATTGTGATGTAGTAACTTTTTGTGCTTTACTTCGATCCATTGCATATATAAATATCGAAAAATATTGATGAGAAATTAAATACTGAAGAATATGTAAAATTTCTGATTGACTGTTGATTGTTTGTTTCATTATATTGAAAACTATATTTTGTAAAGACTGCGGAATAAGTAATTGGGTATCTTCTTTTTTTGAATTGACGCGACGGCTCAAGAGATGTCGTAAATAGACTGCGAGTTGAAGACATTTCGATATAATTTGTTAAGATAGAAATAACGTTGAAGATGTAAGAAGAATATTGATAACGCACATTGAAGAATAAATATATGCGTGCGGCTGTAGGAAGAATGCGGTTACAATCGACACTTTTCGCGAAGAGCTTTTAAGCGTAGAAGAGTGACTAAAATTAACCATTTTCGATATAATTTGTTAAGATATAGAAATAACGTTGAAGATGTAAGAAGAATATTAATAACGCACATTGAAGAATAAATATATGCGTGCGGCTGTAGGAAGAATGCGGTTACAATCGACACTTTTCGCGAAGAGCTTTTAAGCGTAGGAGAGTGACTAATTAACCATCAGCTTCCGTCGAGATCGAGAATGGTACTTCGCGAAATTCATAGTTTTTGCCCTATTATGCTATTGCATTCATTAGTTTATAATTAGCATTTCCTTTCCTGCATACAGTGGCAGATCTATTGGTGACCTAAGCTTCGTAGCTTCACAATATCAAGATACGCGATATGTATTGATATGAATCTATTACCTAAAATATTTCAATTTTTTTATCTTGAAAATGTATGTCTCAATTATTTTAGTAAATAAAAAAATTATGTTAGTTAAAATACAATTTACATTATTTCTTTTATCTATTATCTACTATATGTATCTATTTATGGAAAAAATTAATTTTTCTTATTAAGTTTATATAAATATATATATATTTATATAAACAGAATCTTTTTTAAAAAAGAGTTTTCTATAAATATTAGTTTCGATCAAAGATATAAATCCGCCACTGCTATAATATAAGACATTAGTTTATTCGTTGATTGAATATAAGGTTGCATAATAAATACACTGTAATCTTACTGGTAGAGGGTTTTTGTAATTGAATTGGTCATATAAAAAGATATTGGGATATGCTAGCATATAAAAATATTGTATTCCTCCTATGAGGATTATATCACATGACTTTATTAATCGAAATGGGGATTTAGGTAATCGCAAATGAGCTAAGCTAATGATCTCGAGATCGACGGCTGCATCGCTGGAAGATCTCTATTCGCTAAATTCGATTTTGCGGTCGAGAAAATTCTGTGATAAGTTGACTAATTCTTGTAATTTGGACGTTAAATGAAAGATACATCGAGGCCTTAGTTATACGAGACCCCGTTTACGGTGTTTTATTGTAGTTTATTATAATTTTGTTATAATTGTTAGTCCATGTGTGTGTACGTGATAATAAAATTATAATAAAATTATATTATATGCGTATTATAAATCAATACGCGCAGTTGAATAATTGAAGGTTTCACATCCTATAACGAGTGTTTTGTAAATAAGATGATTTGCAAACGAGAACATTGCCTGAAGATACGACTACGAAAACTTGGAAGATCAATGTGTTCGAGAAACACATAATCATCATCGAAACTAACAAAATCAAAGTGTCACATGCTTAAAATATATATTTTTTTTCAATATTATGATTAAGACAATACTACAAGAGTGTTTTACATGAAACGATAGACAAATATTTTCCGAGATCTAAGCCTTTTATTATATTTCATTAAGTAAAAAGTTCTTCGGTTTGCTAAACGCGCTTTTTCTATGAATTGTCGAGACTAATCACTGTCAGTCATAAGCATTTTTGAATCCAAGTAGTTTGATTGAATGAGACCAATTAAAGATAAGTTAATGACTCAAACTCAACTGATCCGCATAAATAACGCATCGCGAAGATCACGACCAGTTCATATCTGCTGAATGCTGAAGGTATATCGTGCGCATTAATCAAAGTTCAAATTTTGCTTTCAGGTAAAAAGAACCGGTTGCCGCGGAATGCGTTTACTTACTCCGTACAGTCCAAACCGTACCCCTGCCCTAGGTGCAAAAAGAGAGGTTACACCAACAAGAGCACCTTAAATCGTCACCTGCGAGAGGAATGCGGCCAGCCGCCGCAATTGTGCCCCTACTGCAAGAAGCCGATTCATCAACGATCCAACTTCAAACGTCACATACGGAAGGTTCACCCTGGATACCCAGTGTGATTTTGATTAATTCACTGATCGACCGGCCGCGCAATGCGCGATCAAGGCTTTTTGATCGTTATATAAAATAAATTAGCCCTTTTAAATTACTCATTTTTAGATAGTTTTAATTTATCTTAGATATTTTTAATCCATTTTATTTGTTATGGTTTATATTTTGACAACAATTCAGTCAAATGTTAAGGAAATATTTATAGTATTCTTTTTTGCTTCCTCATACAGGAAGCTTTGTTTTCGTAAATTCGTATATGAACCTTTGATTGCGTATATAAAGTTGGCTTTAATCAACCAAATTTAAAAGAATTATATATAAAATAAAGGTAGAAGAAACCAAAGAAAAGATTGTTTTTTTAGTTTTTAATGTCAATATGTTCAAAGTGTTTTAAAACGTCGAATTTGAAATAGTGTTAAAGACTGTCTAAATGTTCGACGATTTTTAAATAATATTTTTGAAACATTTCGACATGTAGAAAAATTAAAATTATTGAAGTTTTCATGCGGAAATCTTTAATTTATTTTGATAAAAAGACGCAGAGATATCTAAAATCTCAGAGAGTTCTCTTATAAAATTGTTGAATACTATAAATCTTAATTAGTTCTGAAATGTATATTTAAAAAAATGTACTTGGCGTTTTTTCGTACAAAGATGCATCAAATGTTAGACACTCATAAGCATTCAGAGGCAGCATTAGGTGAAGTCACCGAGAAATGTTAATTGTTGTATAGAATTTATTCTCGGAAAACAAATTTGTCTGCCTTTACTTATAATTGGTTATTCATTTATTCTGCAATTACTGGATTAAGTTTAGAATATTGAACATCAACGTTAGTATCGAAAACGTTCGTAAATTGACACTCGAAGAGTAATATGACGTACACAGCTTATGATAGTAATAATGATAATAATAACAATAATAACTTTCTGTACCATCGTAAAAATTTCCCGTTCAATTTATCTGTGTGAATGTTAAGCTCTCGAAGCCCTTTATATAGCCGCTTCATAATCGATATAGTGCACAAGTGTGGGAATATTTAATTTTTTTATCGTTACACTGTTTTTGTTCAGACATAACTGCGTAATAATCTTGAACTTAATGTTGCTAATAATGAAGTGAGGGAGTAATTTCTAATTGTAACGGACTATTCGTGTTGCTTACATATATAATATTGTTATTTTTGTATAAAAGAAAAAGAAAATAAAAACACAAGCGTTGTTTATAATGAGCAATTTGTACTCATTAATTCATAATGCCTCACGATGATCAATATCCTTTTTTATTATAATACATTTTTATTATACATCCGTTATGACACCAAAAAAGAATTTTCATGTACAATTTACCATATTTCAAATATTGAACTAATATGGGCTGCATTCGAGGAGCGCGTTATTAGCGCTATTGCGCTAATTCATTCTATCTTCATCGCTCATTAAATGTAAAACAAGGATAGAATAAGCAAATAGCGCTAATAGCGCGCCCCCCGAATGCAGCCATGTTATCACTGATTTAACGTGTTATCTATCACGTGATGATACATTTGTTTCATGTATTGTATTTCAGATTGTTAAATTGCATAACGTTTCTTTTGTATAACATGTACCTATTTTTTAGAACTTATCGATATAATATTAATTATACATAAATAGTTAACGCGCAAGGTTGATTAATATTATAGACAGTTAACCCTAGCTAGCCACACTTATTTTCGAGTCCTTAATTCGCCACATCGGTCCGTGAGATCACCCGATTTTGTCGCATTGTCACTTTTATTCCAATTAATATTTTTAAGCTTGTACTATATAGAAATTGGAAATACAGACTTTGAATTAGATGTTTATGATAATATCAGGTCAAGAAAATGATTTTAATTTAAATTGAACTTATTTAGGAAACTAGAAAATTATGTTATTATGTGAAAACTAGAAAACCGAAAAACGTTCAGCGGTTCACTGGACCGGAGTGTGGCGAGCTAGACTTAACATTCAATCATGTGGCACCAAATTGTTTTTACGTTTAACATTTAATTAATTTCGATTATCAATTCTTACCATTTTTTCGATATAGCGCTTAATTTAATCTTTTAAGCATTTTTTTATACACGACGAATTATTATCCGCACATTTGTTACTTCCCTAAAGTAAGATAATCCGAAAAGAAACATATCTGTGAAAGAATAAAGTTATGATTTCAGCGAAACAATATATCAATATTGTAATGGCATATGCTATACACACTTTAATATTGCATTAATATTGTATCATGTCTATTAAATTATTAAGCTATATTTTTTCTACCTACGACAAGTAAAATTTTTATCATATACATTTACAAACAAATATTTTATTGCCATATTTTGATTTATTTTATTTTTTTCAAAAATAAATATATGAAAATATCTTTTTCACTGAGTTTATTATTACCATTAACCCTTAATCTAACGCCCCGCTAATCTATTGGATCTATTTTTGGGTGTAACTTTGCCGAGAGATAAGGAAAAAAAAACTGTTTTAATTCAGGTGTACTTTAGTGTTCAGTTATATTCTCAACTAAGTCCTCTAGTTTCTTTGCAGAGTGGAATCTCAACTAAAGATAATCCTTTAGGAAGATATGCAAATAATGTGCTACCAACCTATGGATTGTCAATTCATGATTTGATTGACGTAAGTTTTATTTAAATGAGGAACAATTCGATAATTTAACGAGAAAGGCTTTATTACGTGCTTGTAAACTAGAACTACCTAAACACGAAACGCATTCTATTATAAATAATTCAGAATTATTAGTCATATTTATCTAACGTTTTAGAAAAATAAAGTGGTAATATTCACTGATATTCACGTAGTGTATCGAACGTCCCTGTAACTGTACTATTGCACTATTGAAAAACTTCCCTTTTTAATTACTTCGATTATTTTAATTTATCTAACTTATATTTGTCCTAGCATGTGTTAACATATTATGACGAATCGATCACTTCTGAAAAGATGCGAGTTAATGAAATTAAAATTGCAACTGCTTCAGAAATTAAGAAGTATCTTCACGCAACTTTATCTTCTAGACTTCGATTATCGAAATCTTCGATTATCAAAATTTTTACGATCCGCGCATATAAACTATTACAACACAGAACTTGTTACACTAGAGATAGTCGACAATGTCGAATTAAAATTATCGTCGACATTTAAATTGCAATTAAAGCTATAATATTTAGAAAAAAAAAGGATATGGCAAAGGCTAAGATACGATGATTTTCTGCTAGTTGGCTTTCGCCAATTATCTTTCAAAATGATCGATTCGATTAAATTGGCATTACTTATTGCGATGTGAGTCAAGTGCAAAAGTTAAAAGAGACCGTCGGCGAAATTTATCTCACCTCTCGGGCTTTTTGCGATCTGTTTCAGAATCCAAGAGGGAACATTGCCGCGTCAACTACGATCGGCCGTTCACGTGTTACAAGTGCGGCAAGCGTTATACGTGGACGGACTCCTTGACGAGGCATCTACGCGAGGGATGCGGCGTCTTGCCGAAACACATTTGCACGGTTTGCGGCAGGAAATTTCGGCGCAAGGATTATCTGCTACGCCATGAGAACAACGTTCACAAATAAGAAAATTCATCCCCCTACAAATAGAATCCGTCATTCACAAAAATCAAGCCTATATTCTCGAAGAAATACGATTACTGCGACCTGACCGATATAAACCGCCCACCATGTTCTTGAGTATCACCATATTGTTTGAGTATCCGAGTATACAAATGCAAATTACTTGTAAGATGTAAGAAAACGACTGATTTCCGCGATGAAGTGAAAAAGGAAGATTATCTCATATTGTACACATTTTCAGGATTTATGTATCATGTTATGAGCGTTTCAAAAGAATATTTCTGAATGATCATTTTTTATCGAACGATTTTATTTTAATATAGTCGAATCATCGAAATGAAAAAACAGGACGGTATAGTTTAATTAATCGAAAACGATTACACATATTCTCTTTGAAGGAGATATTATTGTGAATAATGATCTGCTTAAGAAAAGTGATTATAAATATTATGTAGAAAATGCATATTTTCATAAAATAAATAATTCGCATTAATAATTTTTACTGATCATTATGTGTTAGAAAATGTGGTAGCATCTCTTCCAAAATTTATTATAGCTAAGTTTAACAAGCTGGTAATATTATTTTTTCTTGGCAATCTTTTTCATAACATTTTTATCTTAAATATACTCTTTTCTAAAAGTGTTCAGTTTTATGAAAACTCATTCTAACTACTGATTTTATAAAACACTTTTTATAGATGTCTATATATAGACACGATATATATGTATATATTCTTTTAAATAAATAAATATATATATATATCGTTTATTAAAAGAAAATAGACCCGACAATCTATATATTTAAGATGAAAAAGTAACAGAATTTTCACCGAAAAATTGAAACTATATATAAGCTATGCGAAAGTTTTTTAGTTTAAAATATCAGAGCAGCAATGCTTTGAAAAATGATAATTTATAATGATTTTTATGAATATGAACAATCATAACAGCGAGTATACTTAAATGGAAAAACACGAGACAATGAATATAGAATTATAACTTTTTATCGCCGGTGTACGTACAATGGCATGTAGAATTACATAGATGTGTAATTGTCTAGGATATCAGCCAGGCTTTTTCGTACCTGTGTATAATTTATCACTTATCACTTTCTACAAAATGTCCCCGACAAGGCACATGTATCATGACAAAAAAGTTTACTTACAGAAAGTCGTATTCGCGTAAGTATTCTGTATACGCGGAATGCAATGTAAGGATGAAATACGAGGCGTGATAAAAATTCACAAATTTTACAGGGAAAAGTATTTAACAGATAAGATTGATACGTAGGTTAATATGGTATAATTCAAAAATAATGGAGCGAATGCGGGATGTAAGGATTAAGTGTGCGATTCACTTGAAAAAAGTAGACAAGCAATATTATAACGTAGATTGTAACGAGTCTGTGGTACAAATATTATTGTAACATAGACTCCAACAAGTCTATGATATAAGCAATATTGTAAAATAGATTGTAACGATATGTAAGCTGTAGACGTTTATCTCATGATAATCGTTTTACGACTATTAAAGTGACAACGTGGCAATGAATTATATTATTGTACAAGGCAACACATAAAATGTAAAATACTGAAAGTTTTCTAAACGAAAATCTAAACTTCTTCAGAATCACAATGTAAAAAAAATATAGCATTGGTACATTTTCTGATCTGCATTTTTTAAATAACATCACTGTTCCCGTAATTTAATGGAAACAATTTTGGTTTCGTTCGTTGTATTTTCTTTATTATATAATACTTATGAAAATAAAGATATACTTAAATTACCATTTTTTTTAAATAAATGGATTTTTAAGTAAGATAAATTTTTGTAAGAAGAACGGTAAGTGTACGGGTATCTCCACAGTTTAAGAGATAACATTAATAATTATGTAGGAAAAGGAATTAAAATAATAGTATTTGACTATCTGTGACATAGGTATTTAAGAGAAATAAAGAACGATCGATACACACTTACATGTCGATGTCTGACACATATAAATTAGCAAGTGTAATCGATTATTTGTTATCTAAAACGGCAAGATAATTATACACTTTATTCCACGGATGCGTCAATAGGTATTCGAATGCATTAACACGTCATTCATTGTTTTTTTCCAGATCTATCGCCGCACATCACGATGGACTATTACAAGAGACTGGGCAGACACTGTTGCTCTAAATGTGGGAAAGAATACAAATGGATGCAGTCATTGGTCAGACACAAACGGGAGGAATGCGGAAAAGATCCACAGTACAGTTGCTCTATATGCGGTTCAAGAATTAGACATAAATGGATGTTGAAGAAGCACATGATCAACGTCCATCGCGTAGCCATCCCGAACGGCAAGAACATTTGGAACGATCGACAACAATCAAGAAAATCCATATAACAATATTGTAATCGTATACATAATCGATGAAATGTTCTTACGTCTGACTCTGCCCTTTATTGATTTACATTTTTTTATTCTGATTTTCAATATTTTAATTTTTTTTCTTTTATTTTCATATATAAATTGAATAGTTTGAAAAATATAATATATTAAATTTTTCAAGCAATTTTTTAAAATAAACAATGGATTTTCCATGCTTTTTTTCGAGAGGGATAGAAGAAATGTAAAGAATGTAAGAAAATTAATAAGAACAATTTTAAACATTATTATCTAGATTTTCCATGTCATTATCTGAATTTATTTACGTTTAATATTATTACTCATACATAAAAGTTTTGTATCATACATATAAAGTATTTAATTTTAAATTTAAACGTGTGATCTTTTCATAATATGCATTTTCATAACAGGTAACTGTCACTTAATATAAAATTGTACTGCATTGTTTTTTGTTCGAAATATAATTATCGTTACATTTCATCGTAAAACGTTCATACATATTTTAACCGTTGGTAGCTATTTCTTTAAAGGATACATTGTACCTTCTTGGGCGATTTATACAAAATGTGTGTAATAATTTAGAAGTAAGGAGAAACTGATTATCGAAATAAAAGCTGCATGTACATAAGATATGAGTACACTCATTATCTTTTTTTCCTATATGAATATAAGGAGCATAATGTGAAACTAGAGAATAGATCACGATAAAATAAAATTTCGTGAAGATTGCCGACCATACAATTTCCTACACTCCTTTTGAAGTTCCCGAGTTTCCACCGAAAGGCTCAAAAATGCGAATCTGATGTATATTTCGATTTTAAAATTGTAACTAAAAAGAGCCTTTAAAATTTAATCCAGGCGATACATTTAATCTATTATTCTCTTTTTTGGGAAAGTAAAAAACAGCACCTTAATGAATTAAATTCGCACGACGAAGAGTTAAGAAAGAATATAAGTCTGACTGAATTGCAAGACGGTTAAGAACACATGCTAATGTCGTGCTTTCTTTTCAGATAACGACGATAGGCCTCACAGACCTCAAAATTATCATAGGCGGTATCGCGGCAAATACACCTGCGACGCATGCGGTAAGGAGTATACGTGGAAACCGTCTTTGACGAGGCATAAACGCGAGGATTGCGGTAAGGAGCCGCAGTACACGTGTCCGGTGTGCCACGTAAAGCTTCGGCGCAGCCGTCAGCTCAAGCTACACTTGATTTACGTTCACAATTGGTTGAACAAACCCATGTATACGTAATACGGGTAATAAAGTAAAATTAAAAAATGACATTGTATTCATTTTGTACTCCCACCCAATAGCAGTTTTAAAACGATTTGAGCCGCTTGAGCGATATTCCCGCTTGAGATATTCGAATGAGATTTTCTCACGCCTAATGTCCACCTTGTATCACCTCGAAGAGAGTATTACGGAAAATTACTCCCTTATTTAATTTTACTTTTATATTTTCCTCAATACTGAGAATTTAGTCTCAAATGGACACTAAGCTGAGAAATAAATTTAAAAAAAACTCCTTTGTGACATTAAATGAGTCTTGAATTAATTGAATTCGACGTTACGAAACATAGAGATTTTTTGCTGTCGCAATTAGATAAACCAATTGCTTGATATTGTTTTTTTTTCTTTTTTATGTTTTAATTTGTTATAAACTGCATAGTATCTTACATGAGGAAACTGTATAATCCGTTGCTCCTCTCAAGCTGAATCTCCGAACCAAGCAAATGAACATGAACAAACACGAATGAGCGAGTACTTTGTTTGTTTGGACTGGATCCGGCTTAATAATCATTTACATTTATTTTAAATATGGTGCATGTATCGGGATGATAAATATTTAGTGTTCTGAAGATTATGCAGAATATGAGATTTTCTTTGTATTTTATAAAATACACCTATTATTTTTTGTTTTCGGTGTGAATATAAGGAATAATACAATACGATGGCAGAGAAAATGTACTTCATAAGTGAAATACGTGCTGTCCACAAATTTTTACCGGAAGAATGAAGACCGCGACTGATTTCAAACTTGTTCTTAGAAAAACCTAAAATTGTTTTATGGCAAAATTTATTATAGATGACAAATTTGAATAAAGAATTTCTTCTTCTCGAAGAAAAGAAGCGCTAAGCTATAATTTAAACGTCACGCGGCTAAAAGTTAAAAAAAAGAATGATTCTTACGAGGATATAATGGCTGAAAATACATTCTAATGACGTATTTTCTTTTCAGATAACACCAGGTATAAGAAGGCTGGTGGTAGTAAACATCAGCGATACCGCGGCAAATATATCTGCAACGCATGTGGTAAAGAGTACAAATGGAGATATTCTCTGACGAGGCACAAACGTGATGAATGCGGTAAGGAACTGTTCGTATGCGATAAGAGATAGAGACACGCGGGTCATTTGAAAGTATATCATATGACACTTCGAAAATATTATCTGTGAAAAGGAAATCAAGTTTCCTTGAAACTCTCAATGCTGTTAACTTTGCGAGTTTATCCGTGTTCGATACGCCGAAGTTTCGGTATAGCTATCAATAGAGGCGACATTTAAAATACATTCCGGACTAACTATATGTGATTAAACCAAATGCAGAAAATAAAATTAAACACAAAAGAAAACGGCAATGTATGTGTTGTCACACTTTACTTCTGTTTATTACTTGAATATCAGATTGTTGCATCATTATAGTTTGTTATTTCTCAATTACCGTTTGTGTTTACTCTAAATAATACATGAACTTAAATCTATCGGAGTGAAGGGTTTCGTGAAAGGGTTTCGTGAAAGGGTTTGGAGAAAATTGTGTGTGAGAAGTGAATTTCTGTTTACCACGTCGTCGTTGAAAAAGTTGGTTCCGTTTTATTTTATATTTGTGTTTCTGTATGTGTTTATCGAGTTACTGAGGTGTACGTATTGAGTTTAATTATTATTCCAAAAATTAATTGTTTGAGTGAAATAGTGGTGACGAGTTAAGAGTATTTTTAGTTAACTATGAAAAAGAATTTTAATGACATTCACTGAATCAGAGTAAATAACTCTTCGTTCAAATATGTAAAAATTTGATATAAAGATTATTTTTAAACTATGCAGTTTATATTTTCTAATTACGTATATTCTAAGATTACATAGAAAATCACATGAAGAGTTCATCTACTCTACAGTCTAATTGTTTCAAAGAAATCATTGTCGCGTTGTAATGATCATGCTGTTAATTTTTTTAGGTAGCTTTGAAAGGTCTATATGTGATAACTCAATATCACCGACTTGCCGTGGCTGCGGAAAAATATTTTTATGGGGGAAGCATCTGGAACTGCATATAAAAAAAAGTGGATGTAGGATCGAGCAAAAGAATGAATGCATTTTCTGCGATCGAAGATTCAAGTTGAAGATTAATCTTGAGCGACACATCAATAAAATTCACATGAGATGGCTTAAGACCAGGCCATCATGATATTCAAATTGTAATTTTATTGACCCTTTAACGCCGAGATATCTCTCTTTTGAGATTAGTATTATATTGTTTTCTGTGATATTAGAAAAACATAACTTGTTTTAGAAAAAAAAAAACAATGAACGTGGCTACTTTAAGCGACTTAATAAAAACATTCTTAAATACATTTACAGCATTTAAAGAATAAAATTACTATATGTAACGGAGGCGTTCAAAGTTTAATAACATCTATTGTCATCTTACACTTTATCAGAAAAAAGTTATAGACGTGCGAAATAAAGAAAATTCGCGAGAAAATTTAATTAAATCAGTTGAATGCATTCATTCTAAGGCATATTATGAATTTGAAGTGACTTGTATCAATTCGTCGAATACGAATTGATATGAAGATGCATATTTAGCATTATAAGCAATCAGATCAATAACGTTATCATCATTTGACAGAATATAGTAATAATCATTATTGTGTATCACCACTGACATTAAAAGTTCCATAATTTTTATCTTCATTTAAAATATCAGATTTTATAAAATTTGAGTATTGTACTTTCCGATTAAAATGTTTCTATCCATTTAATTAGTACTAGATTTAGTTGCTACATCTCACTCAATCAGTATTTACATTTAGTAAAAAATCATCCCAATCTTGTATTATTTATAAGCGATAAAGTTAACTACTGTTTAGATCACCTATTTAAAAAACTTATATAGAGTGTGAGATGTCCGCGATATAATTAGAAAGGAAATGATTCCTCCAAATACTCTTATATTTTTTTATTGAAATCTTTTTTATTCACGTTTCTAAAGTAACAGTGAATAAAAACGATATTCTAACCAGTTTCATGTGATTAAAATATGTAGAAAAGTATAATTTATGATTAATTTTCTACATTTTCTACTTTAACATTTTTCTAATATTATTTGAATATTTATTTATATAAAATTATTACTTATTTGTGTATAAATAAAACAGCAAATTTTATAAGTAATCTATTTACATATATGTAATGTATAAAGAATATAATTACATATTTCTATTCTAAATATTTATATTCTACATATTTATATTTATATCCTAAATATCAATATGTATTTATATAAATTTTGAACAAAATTATGGAAATTTCTAAATTTTATATAAAATTGTTCTTAATTTCTTAATTATAAGAGTTATTTTCTTATATCGTAAGAGTAAACATTAATCTTGATTCTACCTTTCTGATTTATTTTTACACGAGAAATCATTCCTTTCAGTTAATTACGAACTCATCCTGCATAATATACTGTCAACAAAGACGCATAATTGTGTGTTGCGTAACACATTATTAAAATGTGGCATTACCTTTGAGTATTTTATCTGCAACAATACTTGTGATATATTAATGTGATATTCGATTTTTTGTTACGCCTGTTATACAATACTCTCATACAAGTTTATACGTAAATAAAATTTTGATATGTATATATTTACTAATCGCCATATATTTGATCTTAATAAACATATCAGCATTATTTGACACAGAGACAAATTAATTTTAAAAATATCATCAATTTTTTTTTCTCTTAATTTTATATAGTATAACCGAGATAAAAGCCGATTAAACAATTATTTTTATGTATCGTCATCGAACAAAAAATATATGCATACTGGCGTATATGCGTATTTTTCGGTAAACTATGGCAATATCATTACTGAATGTTGATATCATCACATTATTTAAGTTTATAACATATTTATTATATTTCACGACGTCATATTCATAAGCGATCGGTTTTTTAAATATTTTACTTATTATTTATATAAAATCAAAGAAAAAATATTAATATGTAAATGCTTTCTGACTAGTTTATGCCTATGATGAATAATATCGATAACATAAATATTACCAAAATTTTGATTATACATCAGTCTTCATCCACTCTACTGCTAAGTAATTATAAGGCTTTAGTATTTTATAAGAATAAGAGCATGTACAACACCGGTGTATCGGTATAAAATCAAATTTGATATCTCGCGAATGACCGAAAGAAGGATCGAAACTAAAATCTTGCCAATACGGATTTTCTCGAATGAGGTTCTCTCATGCACGCGATTAACGAAATCAATCGTCAGTCCGACATAAATAAGATCGAATTGTTGCATGTATGTTTCAGACCTACACTTGTACCCGTTTCGCTCTTATCCGTGCAACACGTGCGGCAAGACATACAAATGGAGAGAATCTTTGAGTCTGCACAAACGAATGGAGTGCGGTATCGAGCCACGCTTTACCTGTTGCGTCTGCGGCAGAAAGTTCAAACACAAGCACCATCTTGCGAAGCACCACAACTCAATTCACAAATCTATCTAATAATAAATAAATATGTTCAATAAGTGACTTTCCTTTATACATTTAGAAATAATAAGTGATTATATGTAGTTACTTTTTTTTATATAAGGATACGTATAATATCATAGATGTTCATGAAAATTTAATTTGGGAACGATCGCGTCTTCTACGTACCTTAAAATGATCTACTTCGAATTCTCTTGAAATTTTATCTTAAAACTATTATTAACAATCGGAATTATTACGACTCAACCTATTTAGTTTTTTTTCTGGAATATATGCTGCTTATTTTATGCCATAAAATAATTTTATGCCTTAATAAAATTCTGTAAAACTACAAAGTGGTAAAATTGAGGGCGAAAGAATTCATAATAATTCCGCGGTGATCATTCCCGGATGAATACAATGATGGCAATTTTTTAAATAAACCAATAAAACCAAGTCCACGCTCTTTCATTTTTTCCCTTTTTTCATTACATCAATAAATTAAGACACGAAAATCAAGAGAGAGGGAATTTTTTAACTTCTATTTTTTTATACCATTGTAAATCCGTTTAAACAAAATAATTCTGCGATTTTTGGTTGATTGACAATAGCAGTTTTTAAATAATTGCTTTAATTCTTTGAGTACAGAACGGCATGATGCTAAGCACTTTGGAGTTCTTTTTCACACCAAGCTTAAAATATCGCATGGCTTCTCAACTTGTAGTTGGGTGTAGGACTTTTATTAAGATATTTGCGCTTTTTTCAAATTTGTGGTATTTTTTATTTATAAATATTAATTATTTTTTAAATAAATTAGGAAATTGAAAAGAGAAAATACTCGTGTATGCCTATACGTGCCCACAGTACTCAAAGGATTGATCATTTAGTGTACGTATCAATATGATTATCCCGATCAAGTTTTGCATTTGAGAGAAAACATACGACATTCGTGTTTAATTCGTTATTTCTAAGCAGTATCATTTATATCAAATCCTCAATAAATTCCTTTTGTCTAGAAAATTATAAATTAATTAGAGAAAAATCAGAAAATATCATTATGTTTCTTATCATACATTCCGCGAATTTTTAAACCTTTTGCAAAATTTGTGATAAAAGTTTTATAAAAAAGGTTAATTAAAAAGCAATTTTTAAATATATAAAACTGTATTGTAATGATCATTTTTTTATCATATTGACTTTTCGTTTTTTTACGATATTATCGGATGTAAAATATGTACTTTTAGAAATATCAACGCAATGTATCGTAAAACATTCACAAAATATGGAAATATTTATTACATTATATTATCTTTTTGGATTTGCTATGGTGTATAGATATTATATAGTATACTGTTATGGCAGTTTCTACAATAATAATAAGAAATATTTTTACACAAATAAAGTTTATGTACGTATACTATATTTGTTTTTATTTATGCAGAACATATATTTTTATTAAAATTTTCACATCAGCTGCAAAATATTGCAGTTGAAATGCAGTTGATGTAAAAAAATCTTAATAAGAATGAATATATTTTATCTTAAAATGATCAAAAACAACTACAACTCCTGCTTATTAGCAACGAGATAAGATTATAAGATATGCTAATTATTTTCTGTTAATTCCGATAAAATTATCGCATGAACCCTGTTAATCTGTCAAATCGTTTAATCTCTTTCGAAAGGACTATTAAATCGTGAATTCTAATACTATCGAATTTATGGTATGCATTGTTTTTTCGTCGCGGAATGTATGAGAGACATCGACATGATGGTTTATTATAGAACGCGCTCACACACACTATTTAATATTTGAATTAGTAAGGAAAAAATTGGATAAAAACTTTTCAAGACAAAAGCCAAAAAGCCCCTCCCTGCCTTGTAAATTGAAAAACTTCTCCCTGTCTTGAAAATTTTTTATCCAACTTTTTCTTTAACTGACTCACATAGCCCCTCCTTATTCCAATCTGTTTTTCAGATGGTTCAAGTTCATTCGCCATAATGTTCCCATGCAAACTTTGCGGCAAGATCTACGCCCGAAAGTCTTCGATGTACACTCATCTACGGCTGTGCGGCCAGGAGCCAAAATTCAGCTGTGTTCTTTGCGGCAGGAGGTTCAAGTACAAACACAGATTACAGTCGCATCTGACGTCGAATATACACGCTTTACGGTCATGATAACGATTTAAATTGCAACAGAAATTATTGACTCAAGAGTGTCCTTTGTATATCGTCAACGTTTGTAAACGTTATTTGTATCGTATACTGTTAACATTAATAAAGTTCAGTTCTATTTCGCTAGCAAAAGTTATTTTGTACTAATTGTAAATTCCATGATGCTCACACCATGAATTCTTAAAAAGCATTCCTAACAGATCTATCTTATCATATTATCGTAAAATAAAAGCTCGCTAATTATGTCTTTTCCATTTCTCGTAATAATTCAGTGAAAATTGTGAGCATATGTATAATTATATATTCCCCACCCCCTCCTCTCTCTCCCCACTTACATGGGAAGTTAGAAACGTGCAAAATTAATTTGTACGTGAAGAGAATAATTTTAACATTAGATCCCCTTTCCCTTGTAGCGCTTCAGTATGAATTTTGGAATTACGGAATGCATTACATGGATTAAATATAAGTTGCGACAACAAGAGCTTTAGCGAAAGACTCGATTAAAGAATGAACGTCCGTACATGTGCAACTTTTTTTCGGCTTAATACGCTTTCATTCACAGAAAACTCGATTCATAATAGACGTGATTACGACCGTAACACATCACGGTCGTGCTAATATCGTTCCGAGTTAAACGCGACGTTTGGCGAGGGGGAGGGAAGAGTGATTTGGTAGCGCAAAAGATTACAACATTTGACTTTCGGCACTAAATACCACGACGATTTTTCTTGTTTTTTTCAGTCTACTTCCGGAAGGCGTGGGTCTGCTTCCAGTGTGGTAAGCGTTACCTGTGGCGCGGCTCCCTAAAGAACCACATACGGGTGGAATGCGGCAAAGAGCCGGCCTTCAAGTGTCCCGTCTGCGGCAGGAAGTTCAAGCATAAGCATCGCTGGCAGTCGCACGCGAAATGCATGCACAGCATTAAATTGTAACGCGAGAGCCATTTTGTACATAAGGGATTATGTATGCATGTTGTTTAACGACCTGATCGTTACTTTGATTTAATTTACAAACAAGCTTTTGCGAAAAAAGCACTATGCGATATTTTTCAGCGAAACGCCAAGGAAGAAACGCAGAAATGTATCGGCAAACTTGATTAAATTCGTACGACACCTAGTGATTAAGAAAGAGAGTGCAGCTTTAAACGAATCTATATTTTCTAATAATGAAATCAGCGAATTTTACAATGCCAATACATTTTGCAGTTAAATTGATACTAGATTTAACAGTTAGGCTTATGTATAGATCAGTATTTGGAGAATCGATAAAGTATTTTTTTGATTTCGAATTTGTATGTGATTTGTTAATCTCCTCAAGCACATAATTCCTAAAGTTTCAAATAAAAAATATTTTACAATAATCTTTGCTGTGAAATCCTAAAAACTTCAGCACGAAATAAATGAATAAAATTAAATTCAGAATGATCAGATTGGTTCGTTCATGAGCAAAATCTAAATTCGATTTAAAGCCAGTACGAGCCAAAGCACGGATGTGCGATAAGATAATAATATTTCTCACTTTTATACTTCTAATGGTTCCTTTTTTCCAATTCGATTCCCTGTGCACATAACAGACTCCTCTGATTTTGATTTTGAGATCCTTTTATATCGATCATCCTCAGTGAACTAATTCATTAAGATTAAATTCAAGTATGATGTAATCCATTTATCATATAATGAGTATAGCTAATATAAAGATCTTTAATTTAAATTCAAATCTGCGTTGTTTTTCTTTCACCCGAGAACACCGTGTGTAATTAACAATTTCGCGAAACAAATATGATTTCGCTGATTTACAATGTTTTCGCTTACACGAACTTTTATGTGCAGGACTCGCGGTGAGCAAGGTATGGAGCATAACTTCCCATGAGTTCAGAGATACGGACGACTCTTTAAAAGCGAGAGGCTTCAACGACTCCGTGACGTTTCCAACGAATGCGGACTATTCGAATGAACGTCAGATTCTTATATGCAATTTATGTGGTAACGCATATTCGTGGATAAGCAGTTTACGTCGTCATCAATTGCAGTGCGGTAACAAGGAAGCGAAAATCAGTTGTGATTTCTGCGCGAAGAAGTTCTACAGGCGGGACAGACTCAAGGAACACCTGTTTGTGTATCATTCTGACGTGATTTCCGAATGCAGGACTCGGCCTACGAAAGTGGCCGAGTATTCAAGTGTGCGAAGATAGAGTTGTGGCCAGATCGAAAAACTTTATGTACATATGCGAATGAACACGAAAATTTAATATATAAACCCGTATTCTCTTTAAAATCGTTCTACCAGGTGACGGGGTACATAAGTTTTACAATCGTACGCAATAAATTCTGCAATGCAATGAATATTAAATTCAACGTTAGGCTGACGTTCTTGGATTATAGAGTTATTTGATAAATATTTTTTATTTCGATTTTGTGTGTAATGTGTTAATCTCTTATACGCATAAGCTTACATATTTTTCTTATATATATTTTTAGTTAAGTAGTAAACTTGTGATTGTGATAGCGCGCATATTAATATTTTTTTTCGTTATTAGGAACAAATTATTTTTATGTGGCCAACTGTACGGCTCTGCTAAACGCCGCAATTCATTCTTGTCATGTTATTTGTAATACAATATAATAAAATTTTGTTTCTTCATTTCTTAAACAAATTTCTTTTGAGAATTTTTTTGTATGCACAATAGTTTATAGGGCGATTCTTCTCTATAGAATATATTCTTTCCTACACGAGCATCTCTTGTATTATGCGACAATACTCGATACAGGATGTCCAATATCAAAGTATTGGATACATATATCACGTATCAGAGAAGAAAGATCCCAATTCTAACAACTTATGCGAGAGAGCGACGTGTAAGAACAATGATTATTTATCATAATTATTTAAGATTAGTTCCTGCAACACCTGCAAGACGCATTAAATCGCGCGCTTTCGATGTTGCGATCGAGAAACGCGAGTCGAGAGAACAGCTTAACGATCACCGATAATCTTTCGTTTCAGCGTCTTCCTGGAAATCTAATCGGAAATCCTGGCCCTGCTACCGATGCGGCAAACGATACATGTGGCGGGACTCATTGAAGAAACACCAGCGGGTCGAATGCGGGAAAGATCCCACCTTCGAGTGTCCGATTTGCGGAAGGAAATTCAAGCACAAGCACCGGTGGCAGTCGCACGCCAGACTGATTCATTATATTAATGTATAACCGACCTACGAACTGTTCGATGAATTGTGAAGTGATCAATACGCGCTATCAAAGAATGATGTTCCTATAATCGTCTCTCGTGCTACTTTAACCCGAGAATGCACTCTTTATTAGTTCTTTATTAGTTCTTACTGATTACATTTTTTAAGACGACCGCGTTCTAAGATTACCCGACCTGTTCGTTTTGTGATTATTTTCCCTAAATTTTTCGTGGATTTTATTATAGTATACAAAATATTTTTTTCATAAAATATATACGGGAGAGGCGTTTAGACGTCATATAATATTTTAATAGCTTATTTTAGAGATTAATTAGAAAATCCCAATACGCAAATATCAAAGATCACAATAATCTTCGACTTATAAATGATCAAAATTCATTGGCGATATCGCATAAAGTTTGCACGTTTCAGACCTGTATTTATATATATAATTATATATATTTATATATATATATTATCGATAAATGGATGGATGGGTTTACGAAAGATTAGAACAAAAAATTGGCATTAGAAGAATACATACAATTTAATTATCGTCTTTTTTACAAAATAAATTAGAATGCACCATATGATCCTGCCATATCTTTTGGTGTTTTTACTTGCAATATATGTGCATTTGTTAAATCTATGAATATTGCTTTTTTTATTCCATATTAATATTTAACCTTGGAAAGAGAGAAGCAACCTGAAACTTCTAATTCTATTTAAAAAAATATTTAAGTTAGAGTAAAAAAGAAAATGAAATAACGCATATTAATTTATTTTTATTTATATAATCTTCTCTTTTCTCTTTCCTCTCTTACCTTTTTTCTCTTCTCTCTTCTATCTTCACTGTCCATAAAATGTGAACATCAAGGAAAGTAAAATTATTAGTTTTATATTCCAAAGATATCTGCATTTTATTTTTATTTTATTCTTTGTTTTTCTTATTCTTCATAATTTGTCTAACTAATAAAAAATTTTTAATTATAATAATAAGAGAAAATATATTTTTAATTACAATTTACTGAAACTGATATTAATAATCACTTTCCCATGATGTTCTATTTGATTGCGTTTTTTGGAAATTTTGTCCCTGCTAAAAAATTTAAGCAATAATAATATCTCTATCAACTTCAGGGAAAATTTCTGTTTTGTAAAGATCACTCTACTACTGCTCGTCATTTTTTACTGAGCATATAGCATGAGATATTTCCCTATCTTTCTTTTTTTATTTACATACCTCTGCGTATTTAATCCGCAATTTAATAACACAAATTTCAAACAATTTGCGTAACTCGTAATCATTATTCTGATGCATAATAAGGTACCAAAATTATCAATAAATAATCGAACCGTTCAATGATTACTAATCTATTTCGAGCTTCGCTTATTTATGCATTTTTTTACACACAGTTTTTAATAAACAGTTGCAAATATTCCAAGGTTAAATCTGTGCACTAATCTATTTTAACCCATCCATTTCGAAGCAAGGGATCGGTGATATTCATTTGTAATTATAATCTTATTTAATACATACATCTATATACATCCACACGCAATATATATCTGACATATAAATGAATTCTCACAGATCCATTACGTCACATTGAAATAAAATATAATTTCTCACTCACCAATACGACGTGTAGCAGCGGAGTTGTAACTACGTTGCAATCTGTAACACACGAACACAAAGATTCAAATTATAGCAGCGTTCACAAAGTTTAATATTCCGAAAAGTAATTGTTGCATGCGTTAAATAATTATAAACGATCAATTCCATGGATAACAAATAACAGATACTCACCCCATGGTTGCTCCGCTGTCGCCCGACGCCTCTCCCAGGCCTCTCCCTCCTCTCAGATTTCTCCTTGCACTCACTCGCGAGAAATACACATTTAATTACGACGCACAGCAACGGAGTTGTACCTAGGTTCCAATCTGTAACACACGACCACAAAATTCAAATTATAGCAGCGTCCACAAAGTTTAATAATCCGAAAAATAATCGTTGCATATGTTAAATAATTATAAACGACCAATTTTATAGGTAACAAATAATAGATTATTTACACCGTGGTTGCTCCGTCGTCGCCCGATGCCTCTCCCAGGCCCGTCCCTCCTCTCAGATTTGTTCGTTGCACTCGCGAGAAATACCTGCACATTTAATTACGACGCGCAGTTACTTTTTAAACGACACTCCCGACGTTAAAATTCGACTCGCGACTTTAAACGACACTCCCGATGTTGAAATCCAATACGCGCAATACTTTAAACGACACTCGAGCCTGACGTAAAAATCCGCGCACGAAGGGACGACGTGAAAAAAAAACGATCGCGCGCGAAACTGTGTAAGCCTCTTTTATTACTTTTTTCAAAAGTAGACTAACCCGGTATTCCGGTCTCTGTTTCGACCCTGTCGATCCCGTGCTCACGGAAATCTCGCGAATCTCTGAAAGTTTCATCCTGATATACCGCACGATGTAATAAGATCGCGTCAATGTCCAATTTAAAGCGACAAACCGTTGAAACCTTTCGAAATGTACAGCCGAAATTCTATACTGCACCTTCTATCGTATCCGTTTGGAACGCCAAAGCTCGCGAAGTACGCGGTACGCGAGAGCAAACGATCAGTACGTACATACATCATGGCGTCTTTCGTTCGAAAATCACTAGATAATTACTAGACAATTCATACATCCCTCCGTGCTCTCGAAAGGAGACGGCGCGGCGTCGACATCCGTCTCGACGCGAAGTTCAAGTCGCGGGATATATATATCTAACTAATCATCGCGGCTTCCCTCCACTCGAAAATCACTAACAATAGGTTAATCGCCAGACGATTCATACACGACTGCCGTGCTCTCGTTTCGAAAAAAGACGGTACTTATCTCAATCTCGTCTCGACGCGACGAGAGACTCAACTCGCGCCGACGTAAACTCGATATTTATTCGTGCACGCATGTGTGTTCGAATCCATGCACTCGTCGAAATAAAGAAATAAAAGTCCCCCGTAAATGAAAGTGAGTCTACGATTCCCCGGAGTCGCCGGCTTCCCCCGTGTCGCGACGATTTCTATCTTCGAATAAATCACGCGGAATATGTCTCTTAAAGAGTCGGTACGTCTTATCAATTGAGAGAGTCGGTCAATTACGCGGATCGCTAAATGCTAGTTAACAGGGAACAGGGAACGATCGTGTTTGAAACGGGAATAATATTACCACACGCAGAGCGACACGCGCCTCTGCCTCTCCGCTCGAGCGTCGTTGTGCGAATGATGAGTGCGTAGCGGCGCGGCGCGGGGTGGCCGGGGGAGGGCGACACGTCCGCGGGGCGCGGCGACTTTTTTTGTACACACTCGGCGCGCTGTTCGGTAATTTCGGCACGTAACGGCACTTTTTAAAATATATTCACGTTAAATATCGCGCGTTTCAGATTAATTTCCATCAACGGACTACCGTCGCAAAGTTTAACGTATCGTACGTTAATTAAAGAGTAAAATTCACTCGTATCCTGACCGAAAAAAGTATTACTCTTTAAATTTAAATTTAATGTTTAATTTAATATCTACATCTCTCTAATTTATTTTTATCGTGATCGAAAAATGCATTACTTTTAAAATTTAGATTTAATATTTCATTTAATATATCTTTTGAAATGGAACGATTAATCATTCGAATTCATTATTCGAGAATGATTATGTCAATCATTAAAAAAGAATTAAATTATTTGCGTGTAACGCAGTTAAAATTTGCTACTGTTATATTAATGTCAGCTAATTAATTGGTATTTGCTGCATAAAAGAAAGCGAAAAACAAAATCAGCTGAGATGTAAAAATCGATATTATTATTTATAAAAGATAATAGAAAAGAAATTGATATGCACATGAACATAGTTATGAACCTGTATCGCGTAAACTTTACGCGATATCAATTTTAATCAGTATAAATGAAAAATACTATATCTACAATATTTTTTAATTAGGACTTTTAATTCAGTCTAATTAATCTCCAAAATAATTAAAGTACTATTCAGTGATTCGTTTTTACATACATATACTTCATTTATACATATTTGATAACATTGTAATTAATAAATAACGAAGAACGTACGGCGCTTTTTCGATTTTTTTTTAAATATAATTGTTTCTGTAATTTTTTCGTTATTAATCTTCCTGTCATTACTTAAATCGGAATATTCTCTTGTAAATACGAAAACTAATCTAAAAATACGAAATATAAAATCGCAATACTGTCGAAAATGTAATTGCAAATAATATTTATGTTTGCTTTCTGAGACAGTTTATATAATTGAAATTATAAAAAGTGGACATGCACTTGAGCAGCGTAAAACAGTGTAAATAAAATATTTCAAAAATATTTCGTGTGTGCAAAAATCTTTTTTTCCTTTATATATCCTACAGCCAATTTCTATAATATATTTGTTTATTACAATATTTCGCATATGCGTATGTGGATATGCGTTATAAGATTTGATTTATTTTCCAGAATTATGTTCTTTCTCTCAATCTTATTTTAGACGATTTATAATTTATGCGGAATTCTATAATATTTGTACTTTTTTTCCGTGTAATACGAAAAATTTTTGAAGAATAAGAATACACATATATGTACTGTATATTAAATTAAACACATACATAAAAGTACAGGCCATCACAAATTATAAATAGAATTGTATTCTGACGTGAATAAATCTAACGTGAATTATAGATTGTCTAAAATGGGCTTTATTTACGATATATTTTAGCATTCTGTAAATAGAATGCATTTTGAGAATTATTTTGAGGACACAAATGTCTAAAATTATTATGTTTCTATATTTATCCTATTTATACGATACAGGTATTCAATTCACAAATTTACAATCAAATTCATTAATAATTGATAATTGCGCTAAAATCTCTATGGGCCGATATCATAGTATCCGATTTGGTGATCCTCCAATTAAACTCACTCTTCGTTTCTTTCTAGGGGGATAGTTAGAAAAAGATGCAGAGTGAGTTTAATCGGAAGATTACGTTAATCGGAGACCGTGATATCGGCCCTATTCTTCTATATTGATCGCGTAGGGTAAACTCGGGTAAGATGGGGATAGGGAAAAGATGGCCAATCTATGTTCTTTCAATCTAGCTCGCCATGAAACATCGAATGAACATGAGTTGGCCATCTTTCCTGTATGGCCATCTTACCCGAGTTTACCCTATATTTGCATTTGTCGTTTGAAAGTCTTACTAACCGGAAGTCACTGTCACTTTCAGGGAACGAGAACAACAAGAAATTAAACTTCGATTGTACGATGGCGGCTCTGGTGATTTGCCCGGATTGCGGAAGAAGTTGCCAAAACGTTCATCTACTACGCAGAGAATGCTTGAAGGAACGCAAATTTATCTGTTCAATATGCTCTAAAGCCTTCAGACGGAAGTATGATTTGCAAAGACATATGATATGCATACACAATTTGACAAATTGAACTAACAGCTCGTCGCCGATCAAAACGGCTCTCAAACTTAAACGGAGCGTGTTAGCTTTATTTTTATTATGTGAAGAAATAAATATTTGCTACACTTTGTATCTAACAAAACGAAATAAACTCCCTATAATCCTGAAATTTGTTTCAATGGTTAAGTTTTTCTCCCAGACACAATGAAAAATGCATATCACTCGTAAACTATAAATCTGATATTACAGTCAATAACTATACAGTCATATACGCACAGTATATGCAGTTATCTAAAAGTAAAAAGTATTATTTCATTTAAAATATAAGCATTTTTTAATTACAATGTTTATTAATATTATTGTGATATTATTCACGAAAAGAGTAACTTGTAGGTACGAAAAAGATAGTTAGCATTTTATTTGTAAAATCAGACAAATTATATTTTGTCACTAATGCAATACTTTCATACATGGATATTGATTAACATTCTTAAATTCTTAAATAAATTAAAATTATATTAAATATATATCATATTTTTTTCTCCCACAATGTTTCAAGCAAATAAACTTAAGTACATCTTACTGAAACTTCTGCAGTAAAGTTAAAAGGCTCAAACTCTTTTTTTTATTTGTCTGCTTTCATTGTCAGTGCGGCAGCCAATTAGCCATAAAACAACCGTAAATGTTCCTTATTTTACATCGCTGCCGATTTAATCTTCTACGCTTTTCTGTTTTACTTTTCAGTCCCGAGACTGATCGTGAAGAAGATAGAGAAGCTGCAGTACGCGAAGAAGCCGATGATCTACAAATGCACGAGATGCACCAAGAGTTATCAATTGGAAACGTCCTTGCGAAGACATCAGAGATTGGAGTGCGGCATTGAGCCCAAGCACGAATGCCTGATGTGTGGCAAGAAATTCACGTATAAATTCATGCTAACTCACCATTTGGTGTCCTGCAAGAAAAAGACAGCTTCGAAAGAAATGTTTTAGATGAATCGATACGACTCTCTCGATATGACGGCTGTGTTATAATTTGCGAAGAGAATGGAAAGTTATTTTGTTTCTATGTATACGAGAGATATTTATTGCTTGCCTAGACAGAATTGTACCTATTGGCAAACTGCGTTAATTAAATCTCGAGTGACTTTTTTCTAGATTATTATGTTGTTCCAAAAATTATTATTTATTAATTAATGTTAGCGCTAATCGGTCAGTGCAATTTCGACGTATTACAGCATTATTCCAAGGTTGTAATTCGAATTAATCCTATGTCATTAAATCACGGAATGACGATTGAAAGCGAAAAAGAAAATTTATTTTGAAACTAATATTTTTCATGATTAGGACTTTCCAAAATCTTATTATTAAGTTCGTAATGCTGACAATTTGCTGTCACTGTGTAATATCAAACTGATTTAAGAAAATATTATGTATTTGGTAAATACAACTTGCTTATTTCTAAAAGAATCCTAAGCTTAAAGAATTTTTATTTATATTGTTAAAGAGAATTTCTTATTATACAGAAAGCAATTATGAGTTATGCTACGGTTATCAAGATGCAATGTATCTGTAATATGTTATATTAAAATGCAATGATTCATTCAAGCAAGTCTCTTATTTTACATAAGAACAGATTTTTAGACTTTATAATATAATAAATCTTGTTTGTCACGTACGATCGATATCGTATATTTCTTTAGACTTAAAGCGTATACATATATATGTTGGATTTTTATGTGTTTTTGACGCAGACCAGATAAAGAATTTACTAGATTTTTATTTATTAGGGTAGGATACCAAGAATCAAATAATAAACGTTTGCCGTTTCAGATAGATTTCTTTTTTGATTAGAATGTATATACAATTATTTAAAAATCAAAGACTTCAAGAAAGAAAAAGCGTTTGTAGTTCCATTATATGTAATAGCTTTATACAAACGTATAAATGATATGCAAACACTGGCTGGTTTCAGCAGAACGTTTATTTTGCAACTGTTGGAAGTTTTCTGAGTTCAGATTGGATTATTCTTTTAGATCTAGAGGAATAATCCAATTTGAGCTCAGAAAACTTCCAACAGTTGCAAAATAAACGTTCTGCTGAACGTGGCCACTGTTTTTAAACAATACAATAAACTATTAAAAAAAAATAGTTTTCATTTCTTGTTGTATAAATTGAAACTGAATTCACAATACGAAGCTAAATGTACATTTACATTAATAAATTAACCAAAAATCTATTTATCAATAATGTTGTAATAAAATTTCATATGTTAATTACGTTTGATAAATTATTTCTTCCCTTGACGTTTTAAATAAATAATATCTAAACATAATAACAAATGACGAATTCTACTTTGCATAAAAATCCGCATCAGCATGCCTTACTCTTTTTTTTATCTCACCTTCTCACCTTATTTTCATCTCCCCTCTTCTTTCGTAATTTATCTCTTCTGCATCATCGCACTTCCATCAATGACGTTCCTTTATAGCTTATGTAAATTAAATTTTAGCAATACTCTGATCAAAACTTTTCCGGTCGGAAGTGGAACTCCCTAACTGCACGAACTTAATCACTGCAATGCTTACCAGACAATGGCAATATAATGGATGAAGTGATGAAATGGATTAATCATTAATCATTCATTAAATACTCATAATGAATAAATTGCCGATGATAATCCGCCGTAATTCTTGATATTTTATAAGTTTATTTTGTTCCATTTTTTTTATTTTAGAGGATATAGTTACACTCTAATCACAGTATAATCATACCCAGTAGCGACACTGAACGTTTTTAGTGAGTTCCAATTCCGTACATTTAGGGATATGGCGGCCTGTATGTATGACAAAGAGAAAGATACTTCGCTCTCTTTCTCTCTTGTACGTTCGTACCATCTCAGACGATGGCGGCGAGTGTGCCGACGCTCAGTGTCGCTATTGAATATGGTTATACCGTACTCTAATCTTCCTATCTATTTTACATTTTCAATAACAAAACAAAATTTCCGTAATTGTGTGTAAGTTACTCTCCGCAAATTGTGTTCTCTTGGATTACTTTCGCAGTTCTTGAAATTATTTTTAATCAGGCTGCAGAAAGAAATTGATGACCGAAACTGCGTATAACCTCTGTATCTTTAATTGACTTTATCAGAAATTCATTAAAGATGAAAGAAATCGTAGTTCGGTTAGTCTGTCCATATTTTTAGCTAAAGTCATTTTGATTCAATCTCTATTTCCGGTTCGGGGGAGCATTGCGATTACGACGTAGCGTCGAACAAATTGCAAACAAATCGTCTAACCACATTGTCCTCTCGTTGCAGGTCTTCTGGCGCAGATGCTGCTGCAGGACGAAAGCGAGTGGAGCCCACGTGGAGCGAGTGGATCATCGTACAAGATGCCCAGAGACGCCCGAAAGAAGAGCCCGGGCGAGGCCAAGTACGTGTGCAACAGGTGCGGGAAAATGTACAAGGCTACGACTTCGTTAAGCCGTCACAAGCGACTTGAATGCGGTGTCGTGCCCTGCGAGGTATGCCCTATCTGCGGCCGCAGATTCAAGCACAGATTCGTCCTAAACGCCCACATCGTCGGCTGCGAGAGGAGAATGAATCAGACGATACAGAAGAAGGATTACGATTAAAGGCCGCGTTAATCAACGACGAAGAGAGAACGAGAGCGAGATTACGAAGTGAAGACGATGATCGACAAATTATCTAGAGTGATCCATGGAACTGGTGGAAATATTTTTCATCGACGCGATGTACTTTCGAAATAACTGTAATTAAAAATGCAAGCAATTTCATGCAAAACAGATACTTATTTACTATTATAATGTAAGATGAACGTATATCCCAAGACAAATTGCAAATGTTATATCTTAACTTTACTAGAAGAGTAAAATAATAATTTTAAAAGATATGAGTTTAAATTCCAAAAGTCGAATCGAATAAAAATGCGAGAAGAGGTGCCCTTTAAATTCTCATCAGAAAACACTCCGGTATTTTTACTTCTGCACGCGAAAATCTCTTTCGTTTAGTCTACATAATAAAACTTTTTATCATATTTCTCTTAATGAATATTATAATTAAGAATGGATATACGGATTTACACGTCTGAATTCGTAAGATAAATGACCGTTTTGCGAGAAACGTTTGTTACGTATATATTTCGACACATATTTATGATACAGGCGATACAGCCATAATGTATTTAATCTTTTATCATTTGTGGAGTTTAGTCATAAAAATAGTCATACATAATATATAGTCAACTGTTAATCCAAGCCAAACGAATATTGTTATTTTGACACAGACGATATCGTCCATGCTATCCAATTCGCTTCGCGAATGAATGAATGTTGCAAATACCTATATACTTCCTATTTTTTATTATACAATAAAAGTCTGGTAATAACTCGATGCATTAACGCGTAACCTGTACGTATTATACATATGGAGAACATAAAATTGTTCAAACACACACTCATTAATGTTTTAATTTATCATAAATTGTCATTTATTATTTTTTATGATTTGCGAATACAATGGTTTTGCGATTAACACGAAAATTTCAATCAAAAAATCAACGATGACTGTCAACGAAATAACAATTTCCCAATTTTAAGTTCCCAATCATTACTTATCCGTTTTGTGCCGTATTCTGATCCGCATTCAATCTAATTTGTTTTCATAAGCTTTATTTTGATCACAGAGAGCACGGTTCTCAATCCCAGTAGTATTATTTTTTATACTCTATATGTTTTTTACATCCTAATCTAAATATGAAACGAAATTATCATTCTTACCTGTTTGTTTTAATTAATTGTACAATGATAAATAAACGCTTTTTTTGGAGCATAAAAGTTGATCAATCTTTTTTCCTTATAATTTTTGACAACGTAATATCTTGTTGAAAATATATACATAATATATTGTTGCTATTTAAAATGAAAAATTATTCTTTTATGTAAATATTCTTTACATAATTTTTAATAATGAATATTTTGCATATAATTTTTATGATTGATTTTAATTTACTCATCACTAAGGGATATTTAAAAATCACCAATTTAGGTATTTCTGAGATCCGCATACAAAATTGTTGAATGGCTTTTGTATATAATTGTCTCTGTGCTATGCTTTAATACTTCGTTAAATTCTAATATTGCTTTATTATAATATACTTGGCTTATATTATATAGCGAATTAGCAGAAAGTTGTTTTATCTCACTTCAAATCTACGTTATTTCGTTTTTCTTCTTTTATTTGAAAACACCATATTTTTGTGATCAGTAACGTCACAAAACGATCTACTGATTTACAGCTTTTCCGCTCACACCAATTTTATCGTCATGACTCAACGAAAGCTTGTTTTTTTATAGATATTTTTTAAAGATGCGGATGACTTATTCTTTAGAAACTTTACGACTCTGCGATATTTTCAATGAACGGAGAAAATCCGAATACAGTAAGATTTTCACGTGTAGCTTATGCGGTAACGAGTACAAGCTATTAAGCAGTATACATCAATCAGTGAGGATAAACAAGCAGAAAAAGTGCGAATTCTGCTTTAAAAAGTTTCAAGTAAAGGAAAACTATGAAACATTTGTTTGTATCAATTGTATCACTCGAAATTGATTTCCGAGTGTGAACTTGGCTTGACGAAAGTGTTAATTGGGAGAAAATCATATATAGAAGCCTGGTTCGAGATTGGGGATCACTTAACGCTTTATGTATATGCACGACGAAAATTTAATAAATAATTAGATAAGATGTGTGTGTCAGTGCGTGTATGTGTAATTTACATGTAGTTAGAACACTTCGATTTTGATTACATGAAAGACTTTTTGAATGTCGCAATGGAATGATTGATTATTAATACGATCAATATGTTTTTATATTGTATACATTAAGCGTTAAGAGAGACAAACGTATTAGCATTTAGAGACCGATCCAAATAGTCGAATATTATAAAACATTATTGAAATAAAAATTTCATTTAAAATATACTATTGTATACATCTTGTCCATATGCGACTTAACAACTGATTTTCTTCATAAAAGAAGTAAATTATTAAGAGATTAGATCCATAATGTAAAAATTAATGCTCATTGCAATACATATGAATGAGTGTTAATTGATTTAATTTAATCGATTCGTTTACTAAATGTCTAATTGATTTCACTTGACCTTAATATTTGCATGATTATACTAATATTATAACGTTATCGATTTCGCGAGAGTAACGAAATCTTTTCGATATTCCAGACGGCGACCTGATGAACGAGGATAACAAATTTAAACTGGAAGCTATCTATCCGAATACATCTTCACAGTTCGTAAATTGTGGCCAACTGACGCTTCCGCAAGAGCATATATGCGGCGAGTGCGGCAAGGGTTATAAATGGAGGGAGAATCTGTACCGGCATCAAAGACTGGAGTGCGGCAAGCTGCCTACGTTGCGTTGCAAAATTTGCATGAAAATGTTCTACCGTCGATACGAATTAACCAATCATTTGAAAATGAAACATCACAAAGCGTAATCAATTCTCCCGCGTTGGAGATGTTTATCAGAAGTATCAATGTAATTGATTCTCCCACGACGAATACTTTTTATCGAGTAGAAATATAGATATTAGTTTTTCTTATTTTCTTTTGACGCGATTATTGTAGAATTTGTTATATTTTTGCGATTGTCCTATATACTGACGAAATAACATGTATCTGCATCTTGTAGACATTATCTCGAAATAAAGCAATCTACGGAAAACACATTCTGATTAAAAGGCTATTCCATTATAATTGTTTTATTTTGCTACATCTTTCTCTTAATCTGTTTCATACTATATTATCAGATTGTGTTTATATAATGACAAAACATTATCATACAATATCAGCAATTATTGAACTTGAAAATATAAGATATTAGCAAAGCGGACATTTATTTATTATGTAACTTGTCTCTTTGCGAATCTATCAATAAAGTAATACTATTAAAAAAAAATAATGATTGAACATCATACTGTGTTCCTATTATTTTCCTGCTTTTCTCTCATTATAAATGTTATCCATTGTATGACATTACGTTTATTATTCATTCGAGGCTCTGCAATTTTAGAGCCGTCGCATCAACGTGTATGTATGTACGTATCATATACACATGGAGAATATAAAATTGTTAAAACACATACTCATTAATGTTTTAATTTATCATTTATCATTTTTTATGATTCGCGAATACAACGGTTTTGTGCTATTTAAGATGAACATTTTAATAAAAAATAAACGATGACTATCAGCAAAATAACAATAATTCCACACCTTTTAAGTTCACAATCATTGCTTATCTGTTTTGTGCCGTATTCTGATTTGCATTTAATCTAATTTATTTATTTTTATAAGTTTTATTCTAATTATTATAGAGAAGCGTGCAGCTTATGCGGTAACGAGTACAAGTTATTAAGCAGTTTACGTTCATCAATCAGTGCGGATGAACAAGGAGATGAAGAAGTGCGAATTGCGCATAAAGAAGTTCCATGAGCGGAACAGAAGAAAAACTTAGGAACACACTTGTTTACATCACTCAATGTTACACTCATTGTTACACTCGAAATTGATTTCCGAGTGTAAAACTTGGCTTGACGAAAGTGTTAATTGGGAGAAGATAATATAGAAGCCCGGTTCGATATTTGGAGATCACTTAACGCTTTATGTATATATGCAAATTTAATAGATATCATTAGATAAGATGTGCATGTGTGTGAGATCTACATGTAGTTAAAACACTTCAATTTTGATTACATGAGAGATTTTATGAATGTTGCAATGAACAATTGATTATTAGTACGATCAATATGTTTTTATACTGTATACATTAAGCATTAAGAGAGACAAACTTAGCATTTAGAAACCGGTCCAAATAGTCGAGTATTATAAAATATTATTAAAAGTTTATTTAGAATATTATTGTATGTGTGACAAAATGTATTGTACATGTTGTCCATATATGACTCAACAACTGACTTCCTCTGTGAAAGAAGTAAACCATTACAAGATTAAATCTATAATGTAAAAATTAATACTCATTGCGATGCATTCGGTTGAATGTTAATTGATTTAATTTAATCGATTCGTTTACTGAGCGTCTTGTTGATTTAACTTAATATCAATATTTATATAATTGTATTAACATCATCGATTTCGTCAGAGTAACAAAATCTTTTCCATATTCCAGACGTCCTGATGAACGAGGATAACAAATTTAAACTGGACGGTATCCATCTGAATACATCCCGACAGTTCGTAAATCGTGGCCAATCGTTTCCGCAAGAGCATATATGCGGCGAGTGCGGCAAGGGATATAAATGGATGGATAATCTGCGCCGGCATCAAAGACTGGAGTGCGGCAAGCTGCCTAAGTGGCATTGCGAAATCTGCATGAAAATGTTCTACCGTCGATACGAATATACCAAGCATTTGAAATTAAAACATACGTAATCAATTCTCCCTCGTAGGAGATGTTTCTTCGTTTTTAAATAAAATACATGTTAGATTTCTTAAATTTTCCTACCATGTTTTTTTAATAATTATATTTCACGCCAAGTTGCACACTCAGCTTTTACTAGATAATTACATTAGATAATTGATGTCATGCAACATTAGTAAACGAGCACGTCAATACGAGTTGATTAATGTGAACTCGAAGTATTATTAATGTAATCAATTCTCCCACGACAAATACTTTTTATCGAATAGAAATAGAAATATTAGTTTTCCTTATTTTCTCTTGTCGCGATTATTCTAGAATTTATTATATTTTTGTGATTACCTTATAGTATTGACGAACATGTACAAGCATCTTGTAGACACTATCTCGAAATAAAGCAATCCACGGAAAATACATTCTGATAAAGAGACTATTTCATTATAATTGATTTATTTTGCTACTTCTCTCTCTTAATCTGTTTCATATTATTATATTATCAGATTGTGTTTATATAATGACAAAACATCATGCAATATCAGCAATTGAATTTAAAAATATAAGATATTAGCAAAACGTATATTTATTTATTATGTAATTTGTTTCTTCGCGAATCTATCAATAAAGAAATATTATTTTTAAAAATAATGATTGAACATCATACTGCGTTCCTATTATGTTCCTGCTTTTATTTCATAAATGTTATACATTGTGTGACATCGCATTTATTATTCATACGAGGCTCTGCAATTTTGGAGTTGTCGTACTTTTCCAATTCAACGATGACATCGTATTCGCGCGCGTGCGAATACGCTGTTATCGCTGAATTAGAATCCTCATTCTTTTCGAATGCATGCGCTTAATGCATAAGACTCTCCCCTTATAATTTCTTTCTCGTTTTCGCGAATTTTCAGATGGTCGAGACGTAAACTTAACGGACGTTTCTCTTTTCTTTTTTTTATAGATAACGATTGCCAGCTATCCGATTGGTTAATTGAACCGTTCATAAAGGAAGAGCCCGATGAGAGCTGCTTCGAATTCGTGGCTGTCGATTACAACCAACAGTCTTCGGAGCATGAGAAAAAGCCGTTGAAGATTCTTACTCCGCTTACCTGCGAGGAATGCGGCAAGAGCTTCTCGAGGATCGATAGTCTCAAAAGACACAAAAAGCTATACTGTAAAACGAGATTCATGCGCCGCCCATTTCCGGTACAAACTCCGGCAGAAAGTCCGGCACAAGATTGAAGAAATCATTGTCTCTGCGCAATTACATAAAGAGTGCGTCATGCTCATGCGCATTATTTAGTTAAGAAGACAAACAATGTTCATACCGTATGCTAATATAAACGATCTATCGTGGATTTCTTTAAGTTTTTTTCTTATTTTGCGTGAAAAGACTTTCTCAGGGGAGAGACTACCTTCAAATAACATCGGATATTACTTGGAACTAGTTTACGCTAATTAATACTTTGTGGGAGAAAACTCTGAAGGACGAAAGCATGAGCTTCATTGAAATATCTTTTGCACGTCTTAGAATTAGGGAAACTAGTATAGGAATTTGATTTATAGCAAAATGGAGTAAAGTAGTTTCATATAAAATATATTCTATTTTAGACCTGTCCAAGGGGAGGCTTCTTGCCAGAGCTAATAAATCGCTAATAAATCGTAGTTACATTGGCTGCGTTCAGCAGAGAAAGCTTTGCAACTGTTGTAAAATTCGTAATTTTGATTGGTGCATACTCTTAGTTTCGGCCAAAATTAAAAAAAAATACATCAATCAGATTCACAAATTTTACAACAGTTGCAAAGCAGTTTTCTCTGCTGAACGCTGCCATTGATCTAGTGCACGTTCTGTGTAGTATGCGCGAAAATTGGGCGTAATTTATTTAAATTATTTATCCGTTATATATATTGTATTGTCTCTCTCTCTCTTTCTCTCTCTTAACGAGAGGGGGAGTAGCTTTTGGACAGGCCTGTTCTATTTGCTAACTTTATTATTTTGATTTGGTCGATTAAAAAAGAATCTTCATATTCGCGCCTCTCTCTCTGTCTTAATTTATTTTTACTTATATGGATTCGATGTATTTACAACCCTTTTTTATATTTACGAGTTTGAAGTTGACTTAATCGTATCATGTTTATTGTTTCCGGGGGCGGAAAGGGATTCCAACAATTCACTTCGTATTTCTTTTAATTGCACAACCTTAAAAACTTTTCAACTTCTTCTTGTATAAAACGAAGCTTAAATCGACCGCTTTTACGTGAAGTCTAATTGGCTTATTCCCAATTCAATGAAGATGATAAAATAACAAAAAGGGAGAAGCAGGTTTCAATAATATTATTAAGTAGTAAATATAATTTGTATGTCCGAAATATATATATATATATTTTAAGAGAATTAGCATTAAGTTTTGTTCTCAAGTAAAATGAATGAAAAATAAGTAAAAAAATTTAGATACACTTTTTTTATTAAACTTATTTCTATACTTTTCTTTTCTTTATTCGTATCCGCGATGATTTTGCAAAACGTAATTGTACAAAATTTAACAAACATGTACATGTATTTTGTAATTCTCAATAAAAATAAATTAGTTCGTAACGTGTGTATATCCTTGTAAAACAATATAATATGTTCATGCATCATTACTTATCTAATTAATAAATACCTGCAAATTTTGAAAAAGTAAATTTCTTATTAAACTTTTAAACGCGAACCTTTTATTATCCTAACAAAATCTTCAAAAAAAACATCTTTGTGATTAATAATTGAAGTTTTCGAGAGCGTTTTCTCGCCCTTCTCCCTTCTCTTTTATCTCTCTTTCTCTTCCCGTTTTCTCTTTAGCTCCTTTATGATTCTACAACTTTCCACTTTATGATTATCAAACTCGAGATCAGAAGGTAATTTAAATTATGCATGCTGCTGGCTTCACGCTGCTCGCTTGCCAGTCGCCCTGCACGTCTTGCCACGTATTCTCGCTTTTTAACGGGCTAACGGTGTCTTTACAGACGAGAATGAGCAGTGTATGGTGAAGAGCACTGACGAGGAACCGGAAGTCTGCGAGGTGCCCTTTCATGGCCAGCTTAACTATCTGCTCTGTGACTCGCCGATCCTGAATAGCGTGGAGGCAAACGTGGTGCAGAAAAACGCCAAGTCCTGCCAGCAATTTCGTTGCGACGGCTGTGGCAGAGCGTACACGAGGGTTGACAGCCTGAAACGTCATCAACAGAAGTGCGACGAGTATCTGGCGTCGTTCCAGGATCGGCAGGAGGCACTGGAGAGGCTTCAGCAACAGGAATACTATTGTAACCAATGCGGCAAATCGTACAGAAGGCAAGATACTTTGCGCCGGCATCAGCGACAAGTGTGCGGTGACAAAGAGAGCAACAATTCTTCAAAAGTAGATAAGATGAGCTTATAAAGAACAAATCTGATCGCGATATCGGTCAGTTTTAGAGAATAGAAAGTTAGAGTGTCAGTTACGATGAGATAAAATGATATGACTCTGTGAACGGATTCTGAACTAATTCTTGCTAAAACTGTCGATAAAAGTGTCAGCTAATTTATTATAGTTTAAATGCGCTTTCAAAAGAGTTACACTAATGTAGCGTATTAAATGACTGATTTCCTCGTAATCGAATTGTAGCGGATTATTAATTGCGCGATATTGACTCGCTTCATTAAGAATGTGAAACAATTCGAGATGGAGAGAAAAAGAGAGCGAGCGAATGAGTGTGTATGTGTGTGTGTGAGAGAGAGAGAGAGAGAGAGAGAGAGAGAAAGAAAGAGCGAGCTCTATGTGTTTTATTGTATACAGTCGATGAGAGATTTAGCTTCATATTCTATATAAATTTTATTAGATATGTAATGACATTTACGAGATAAGCACAAGATCCAAAAAAATAATGCATGTAAATAAATCTCTGTATTGTTCTCATGCGCGATAAAAAAAAGTCTAAATATTTATATAGATTTCGTCCAGCTTTTCGGCAATCACTGCCAATGCAAATTAATAAGAATTATTAGAATTTTTTTTACCTCACATAAATTATATATATCTCATATTAAATATCACCAGCAAATTTTTCCTTTTAAGCAGCGATTATAAGTCTCTTGTCAGACAATATAAGATCAAAATAATGTAAGTTATACGGATATACTTTATTTTATGTATTGTATTCTACTTCTACGCATAATTAAGTTTTTTTTACAAAGACATTATAAATATAAGGATAAAAATCATGGATATGTACACATGAAAAGAACGATTGTCAAATTTAATTTCTTTGGAATAATCGCGACAATAATATCTGTGTAACAAATAAATGATTATTTAAATGTCGAAAACAGTGATGCCGCTTTTCCTGTGTGCTTCGATCTCAAGCGTGAAATAACGATTATAGAAATTCGATTACAAATTGAAACGCTATCGATTAAATTGAATAAATTGAAAGTACCATTGACACACAATTTCTGTCGTAAAAATATTATTCTTCATCCACGCATAGAGAATTAATGAGATAATTATTATGGGAATAACTCGTTCCATAATTTTGAATTCTACATTACAGAACAAATTACTAAAGCGTTTCGTCAGCGTAACAGAGATGCCCTTATCTACCTCGATTATCTACTTTGAGCTTCTTGATAACGTTGCATGCCGTTCACTCGCACTTGGCCTCGATATCAAATCAAATGGCTGCGACGCGACGCGATCTCTTGGTATCTACGACCCTGTTTTAAAGGATTCGGACGTCACCTAATCTCCGGCGCTCTGCTTTATTGCCGCAGGAGAGGACCTGCAGCTGGAGGAATACGACGCCCTGTGGATGCTGGAGCGGAAGGCGCGCAGCATCGGCCAGGACAGCCAGGAGTCCCTTCCGTTCCCGAGCAAGTCGTACTCGCCGTCGAAGATGCACGACACTTTAGGGCCCGGCGGCGATTATTCGGCTGTCCCGGTGTACGGCGGGGACTCCTACGCGCCGATGCTACAGACCCACTACGTTTGCACCAATTGCGGCAAGAAATACAAATGGCTGGACAGCCTGAAGAGGCACCAGAGAGTGGACTGCGGCAACAAGGAGAAGAAGTTCTCCTGTCACGCGTGCGATCGGAAGTTCAAGTATCGATACGAATTACGGAACCATATCACCGCGCATCACCGGGGCGGGTGATTTTTCTCTATATATGGACGTGTGATTTTTTCGAAGGAAAAAAGTTCGCGAATTAAAAGAACGTGACCTGATTTAAGCTCTGTGAGTCGTGACGTCTCGTAACGGACGGTCAAAATATTTGTGATCAAAGCTCGATTTATCAGCAATATGTCGTTAAAGATAGATTTTTCGAAAAATGACATTTGCTCTCGAGGACATTTTCCGTTTGTAAGTTAGATGATGATAAGGAAATATATTAGAAATTATTTATTTATTAACGATTCGTTACGAGAACGGACATTATGATCTCTCGTCTTACTGTGTTCCACAAAAAGTCAAATGTAATGAAATAATTAGGAATCATTACAAGTTATTTCTATATTGAACTTGCTTTAAACTTTTCCAATATTATTATATTTTATTCATTATTGAAATTTAAAATTTATTAAAAGTTATAAGATTTGGTTTAGTTTCTGAAAACTGCGAAACAATAAGTTATTATTTTGTGCTTTATCATTTAATGTACGTTAAAAATACTATTAGTATATATGTTAATTATTAATTATTATAGATTAAAATATGGTCTAATTAACAAGTAATAAAGTTATGAATATAAAAATTATACCAGATATAATTTTTGAAAGAAATATTCTTCTACTTCTCCCATAATACTTTTAGCGACAATAATCGGAATTTTATTATATATTTTCCAAGTTTTCTATTATCGTAATTTAACTCTCTCATTTATTGTTTGTTTTAATTAGTCACAGTAATTTCGTATCTGATATCATATCGATAAACTTTATTTACATTGATCTTGTTACAAACATTTTATAATCAGAACGAAACGGATTAATTAAATTTTAATTACATGTTCCGTTATATACTCGACCGACGTAATAAAATTTGTAATTTCCATTAACATTTTCATGTGTAGTGCGAATAATGCAGCAGGCGAAGGAAAATATTTTTAACGTGAAAAGAAAATGTAATTCCGTCTACATTAGATGTATCGAAATCGCGTTCCAAGAAAAAGAGAACAATTTTTCTCCCTCCTCTTGCGCAAAAGAGATCCTACAATCCCGTGAAAAATCCCAGACATCGAGGGCGCCTTGTTAGTCGCTTTTATGGTGAATGGCTACGTGTAACTCAACTCATGCTGTGTATGTCCGTGTCTTTGTCGTGATCCCGTGATAATTCCTTCTAAGCTAAATCGTGGTCGCCAATCCCTACGGCAAAAGGGCGCGACGATCTCTAGCGAAGCTGTACTGACTCTCTTGTGTGTTTTCTAGAGCGGAAGTACTCGCCAATCGAATGGTACTATCGGTACCAGACGCTGTATCTACAACTGATGGCGGAGAACCAATTGACGAAGGAGACGACCACGAGAACGGCAGTTAATCTGACGAGCGTCTGTCCCGGTAACGTCGCCGTCGAGAAGATGCAAAACGACCAACCGCTGACGGAAGTCAATAGCAACCAGGTAACCGCGGCGGGTAATCGCGACCACTATTGTCCGCGTTGCGGTAACGCCTACACGAGGCCGCACTCGCTGAACAGACACATGAGATTCGAGTGCGGCGTAGAGCCGCAATTCGAATGTCCCATCTGCCACAAGAAGTCGAAGCACAAGCATAATCTGCTATTACATATGAGAATTCATCAGAAGCCTTGAGACCGCTCGCTGCCATTGAATGTTACGCGGGGAGAACGCGCTGTTAAAGTTTTCGTGAACTTTCAAAACGGTACAAAAATCACGCGCGGTTTGAAATACGTTTGTCGAATTGAATCAAGACTCAGAACTCTCTGGGCGGTATTCATAGTCGGATCTTATTTCGAGACCGTCTTAAGTAATGATGAAAATTTAGATGCTAATATGGTCATTTTATTGGTTGAACGGAGTCTTAAGACTGCTTTTGACCGGACTTAAGACGATATTAAATATAAGATCTGACTATAAATACCGGCCTAAGATTCTGACAGACTGATTCTTTTTTTTTTTTGTTGAATAGTTTGTTCACTAAGCTATTTGTGGATACTATGTCTCAAAAGAATTATTAACTTTTTGGGCTTAATGTTACTTTTAATTCTGTTAGTTTCTTTGGACTTTGAGAAGAAAAAGCATCCTGTTCGTTTCTCTTACGCGTAAACATCACTTTGTGATTAATTATGGACAATAAACATTCAGAAAATGCAAATATATACAACTATAGAGTTAACAGATGACTCATATAACAGATACAATTGATTTGTATCAACACAAAGAAAATAGCACGATTAAGCTTTATTCATAGATCTTAATTGAGTTATTCTTCATTAATTGAGGAGAGAGTTATATAATATAAATACAATATTAAGTATTTTAAGTGCAAGTACACTTTAAGGATGTATTTGACTCGTATATAGCAAAGTTGTCTAACTTGTGATGTCACACAAACGAGCGACCAATTAATTAAACAGCTTTGATATATAATTACAAAGTCTCCCAAAGAGTATGTAAGATAGAATATACTTATGTATAAGAATACGTAAGATCAAGACCTGTGCCTGATCTATCTAAAGAAACGTTAACGTATTATTTTAGATATTCTCAGTCAAAACTGCCAAAAGTTGCGAGAAATAGTTACAAGGAATTCTTATTAAGGCGAAACCCCTGACTTTAGTCTCTGTTTTACAAAATAATAACAAAGTTACTACAAAGATTAGTAAACAAGATGCCTTTTTGTTGGCTGTTCTAATTAGGTTTGCAATTTTTTGAGCGCAATTATGATATCTAATCAAATCGTTATAATTAACGAACGATTCCATAAACGTAAGACTCAATATCAGTAAGTTTATTAGTATCGTTGAAGCCAGTAATTTTTATGTACGTGTGTTCAAACTTTACCATTAGTTTTTAAATCCTGCAGACATATATATATATTTTATATATATTATATATATATATATATATATATATATATATATATATATATATATATATATATGTATAAATTGTATAGTATATATGTGTATATAGTTAAATATTCTACAAATTATTTATATTAAATGAGATTCTTGTAAATCTTTAGTTATTAATTGATTAAGTATTAATTCATTAATTTTAATCAATTAATTGTATGTTAAATGAGTCAAATTAATTATATATTTTTTGTTTTTGTTAAATTTATTATTAGCGGTATCGCGGAGAAAATTTTACATTATCGTTTACAGACTGATCCACTGCCATAATGATTTTCTATCCAAGCAATTTTTATTGTCTCAACGGCAGACTATGAATAATGTTCAAACTTAGACTGCGTTTCTGCCATTAAACATAGCGTTAAGTCTATTATAGTTAGATACAGATGGTAATAAACTGGTAAATAACTTAATCCATTGTATATAAGACGTCCACGAGAAAAATGCATACGTATCTCGCGTGAAAATTAAATTAAATTAAATTAATTTAAATTAATTTTTCAGAAGAAACGCAATGCTTGTCTTCGAGACGTCTTATATATCTGCTCACATATATTTCTGGTCTGTTTGCCAAGAATGAAAACAATTACTTTAGAGTGTTAAAGTCCTCTGTCTATAATCAGAAATAAACTGTGATTGTCAAATGCGCAAAATGCTAGTGCAACTATAACGTATGTAATGTATACGAGTGAAAAATTATTATTATTAGTTTATAGTAAATGCGAGATATAATAACAAAAATTTATGCTGTGTATTTCCATTGCGTGTTGAGTGCGGCAGTAGACAGTGATAAGCATAGGCGCCTATATTTTTAGAATTAGTAAGGAAATAAATAGCAGTGCCAACGAAACGAATAGTCTGAATAATACATATGTATGTATATATATATATCATATAAATAATAATATACATTATATATACATATACATATAATTCGACAGAGATTCTATAAATTTACGTAGGGGAGAGTCTGTAACATGCAACGCGCCTTTGCACGTAACAAGCTCTGTTTGTCAGATATACCCGCATAAAGACTTAAAATTTATGTACAAATGCGGGTATATATAAACATGTTTACATGAATTATTATGTAACTGCAGTAAAAATAAACACGCATATTTTGTAATCCACAGAATTTTGTTAATATTTAGATATGGCCCTACACACTAACTTCCCATTGCATTTTATTATTATTCGATAACGATACGAATGTTCAAATGTCAATCTTCGAACTTTTTCACGAATTAGTTGCTAATGCGTGATTTTTTGCGAGACCTTTCTAGAGTAATTTACGATAGTTCGATCAATACTGTCAATCATGTCATTATTATATTTTTTTTAACATTTATTATTGTGCGTATTATACATAAAAATGAGACGTAGATAATTGTTAAATGCATGTAGCAGTAATATTTTAAATCGGAGATGGACAAAACTCACGGTTGATACTGAAAAAAATATTTAAAATATATATTACATAAAGAACCGTATATTTTCATATTTTAAAAATTAAGTTTCATTAAGTTTCTTTTTTACAAAATGTACAAGATAAAAATAAATAAAACAATAATAAAGCTATTGCAGGATATAGCAAATAAATTCCGATGATCGTTTGTCTATCCCCGATATACATCATATATAGGAAATTATATCTGTTGCAGAGATAAGTTTTTGTTGTGAAAATGCGATGCGTAGCACAATACAGTTCATCACACACAAAATTATCAAAAGATCACAATTCATGGAGAACCACCCGCTTCGCAAATGCATGTAGTTTAGAGATTAGAAGCTGCGAGAGACGCCGCGATGCAGGACTAAGCGTGCGTATACAAGAACGAGGAGTGAGATCTTACTCAAAAAGAGAAGTCTGTGTGATGAACGCCCTGACTTGCGGCATGACTTGCTATACGTATACTCGATGTTTTCGTTATTTAGCCGCCTAACGCTTCTAATTTTCATATACGTTCGCTCGCGAAAGCACGCGAGAGAGAAAGAGAGTGACTGCGTGTATGTCTTATTGTATCCTTTCCGACGAATGTTTCAGTTTGGAAGCGATTGAAGGACGCGGAGGACGGGCCGCCGTTTCTTTGCCCGAAATGCGGCCGCACTTACTCGCACAAGTGCAACCTGACGAGGCATTTGCGCCTCGAGTGCGGGGTCGGGCCAAGATTTCAGTGCGGGAATTGCAAGAAGCGATTCAAGCACCGTCACCACCTGCGGGACCATCAGAGGATCCACCTCTACGCCAATTGCGGCTACGAATCGCGCAACTGAGAACGTCACCCTTCCAACGAAAAATCGCTCGCGCCTCCAACCCCTTTTATCCGGTCACTTTATTTGTTTATTCGATCGTACGTGCGTTTATCGAATTATTTATTCGCCGGTCGGTCGACAGCGACGCAATCTGTGATCCTTTGAGTACCAAAAAGTACTGAAAGCTATTATTTACCGTACTTCCGCGCTGTAAGGTTGTCTAATGGAATGGTGCAATTTTAGAAATATATTGCTTATGACTCTTTAAACGTAATGTAATTTTGTTAGACATATATGTTCGTTATACATAAAAGGATTCAAGCTAAAGCATTTTGCGGTAGTAGCAGGATTGCGAAAGAACTTGGTACTTTGCGTTAACTTTGAATATTATTCTGCAAAGCGTAAGCGACATTGTTTAAGCTATCGACGACGGAGGAATCTAATCTTTCGAATTCAAAGTACCTAAACTCCATTGTGAGATTCACCAAAAACGTTGACCTAGAAATATGTAATTGCACGATTTGAGAAATAAATAGCAAACACCAATAGTGCAAAGAAAGAAAAACGCCATTAGGAATATTTCACAGCACGTATACTTAAGTATCGCTATTAGGATTAACTATTTAGTCTATAGTGCCAGAACCATGACCTTTTGAAAACGCTAAGGGTATTGCGGAACATTTAACACAGATGTAAATGAAGAATAGCTTTGGAAATTACTGTATTTTCGATGTTCGCGACGCGTATAATTATCGAACTCGTGCCAAAGGAAGTAGTAATTTATAGCGGGTTTTATATGATGCGGTGTGTCCAAGTGCTTGGATGCAAATGCTCGTCGTGTAACAGCCACAGTTGGATACAAAAAGTGTCCGACACAACAACGAGTTGCAATGGTGCATCCGTAAATTTAGATATTTACCATACCGAATGTATATAAAAACAGATGGCCGTAATTAAATCCGTCTCAACTTTTGGGAGGAAAACTCCATGTAATAATTAAATGTGGAGAGGTTGGCCCGTTACGACATTATTATAGAGAAACAAAATTCATGGAAACGAGATTGTAAAACGATCTGTTTTAAAGCTGCTTCTCTTCTTTATTCTACACTGAGAAAAAATTTTTCTGCATTTTAGTAAATATTAGTTTGCATACAAACTGACTCTATTTATTAAAATAAAGAAAATTTACCTTTTTATTAGTATATTTTTTCTCACAAGAATACACATATACTAATAAAGAGGAAAATTTTCTTCATTTTAGTAAATGGAGTCACAGTTGGTATGCAAACTATTTACTAAAATGCAGAAATTTTTTTCTCAGTGTACTGCCTTTGCATTTAATTCAGAAATTTTTAATTATACAATTTCTTATAATATTGCATCTTATTAATTTTTTATACAAAAAGCAGTTTGAACATTTATTTGTTTTAACTCCGTTAACGAAGAATAAAATGAATAAGTAAATCGTATCGTTGCGCTTTTCCATGAATTTTGTACTCTAACGGGCCAGAATGATCGATGCAGAAAGTACATCATTAGAAAACGATTGCAAATACCTCTTGATCGTGCCAAATATACGCTCTAGTCCTTACGTTTGAGATTTCGAGTATTATAGTTTTTCAATAAAATAAGTGAGATACGCGATATACTTATAATGTGTAACACATTTATAATAATCCTAAAGAACCTAGCTTTTAATTAGATATTCTCGAATAATTAAACAGTTATATGCTTTGTGTGATTGTATAATCGCCAACGTCTCTCGATGTACGGTTTACCAAAAATCAGGAAAAGAAAACAGTTAAGAAAACTTTGGTTGAAATCATAGAAACATTTTTAAGCGGGCATTTAAATGCTTTTTTTCATCGAGAACGGTGTTTGCGTTGTACGTAATACAATATATGAAAGTTCTGTAAAATAATATTAAGTCCACGAAAAGCATTTATCGTTAAGTTTTTATGGTACATCCCGTAAATTATATTTTACGGACTGAAACTATCTGTCGCGCGATTATTAATTTTTCCTATTTGCAGAATATATAATTTGTAATATAATAATCGTTACCCCTTAACTATATTCTTGATTTTTCACAACTTGCTCGATTTGTGCAGTTTCCTGCGTTCTAAATTGTCTCTTAATCTTTTATCTGCTTTACGTATTAAATGCGCGATTAAAAACAATCTATTTTTTATAAAGAAATATGGAATGAAATTTTGGTAAAATTCATTAAAGTTTACAACACGCACGTTACTCGATTTAGTAATATAAAATTTAATTGCTTTTAAATTTATTTTTCGAGAAATAGTTGTACTAGTTAAGGGTTACGATCCTGAACTCGATTTCCTGATAGAAAATCGATTGTTATCACAAATGTAATCTATATTGCATCACCAACATGGTTGTTGGAAAGAAATTACAAATCGAATTTCACAAAAAGCATATGTACGAAATAAATTTACTTTTTATGAACACTTAACTGCATAGTCTCATTGTCAGTTCACTACCTCGAGCCATCCCACACGACGGTTCCAGTCGGATCTCTTCGGGCTCATCCAGGTTTGGTATCTGCGCATTTTTAAATATTTATATGTAAATATAAATTTTATTCCATTTTTTCTAAATTTGTACGGTAGCATTACTATCGGGTTTTTCTATCTTTTTTACGTTATATAACAAACAATAGTTAAGCAACAGTAAACATAAAAATAAAAGAAAGCGGGTTATATATATATTTTTTTTTGCATATTCAGCTTTAAATATGGGATACAATAAATATATTTGACTCTACATCGCATCGAAAAAAGGAGAAGAAAGTACATATAATTCGACGATAGTTGCCTAATACGCATATTTTTATGCTTTACTCTCAATATGCAATCAAAGTCCTGGATATAATCGAATGACTCTTATATAATTGTAGCGATTTTGTGCTTCTAATCGATAATACAACTATAAATAGTGATAATGGCCGGTGTAGAAACAATAGCGATTATTGCTAATTTCCATCGTAGGCATACACGGGATATCGCTCAATTTGCCAGCATAATCCATTTATGAAAAAATCCATCGCGCGAGTAACACTACGATCGCACGAAGCTCGAAACTGTCGCACGCTCCGCAACTCGACGACACGAAAAAACCGTATCCAGTGACGAATTTTCCACTAAGCGTAACTCGAAAGCGTGCAAAGATACTTTCTTTCAGTTAATTACATGCGCGATCGTGTAAAGTACATTCATAAAGATGAAAAAAAGAGGAAAAGGCGTCGGACGTACGTAAATTGACGAAGGTGTGAAACGCGCCTACATAATTTCACAGAGCGCTGAATATTTCGAGACTATAGTGTTCCATAACGAGCTTAACGTACTGTAATCGTTGATTTCTCAAAGGAAGGCATTTCGGGACGCTGTGTGAGACAGAATCGAAGACAGCTTGGACGCCTTGGACATAAGCGTGTTACTCGTTGGATACACATTCGCGTACTACATAATGGCTACGTAGTTCAACGGTAGACGTTTTGCGCGCATGGGGGCGCCAGTTGACGGCCACTCAAAACGCGGGCAGCGGGCAGTGCGGGCACATGTTCACTTTCAGGTCGGGCAATATGGAGTCTCGCATGGCGCGCGGCGGTGCATGCTGTCATACCCAAGATTTTATCCAAGAGCCTGGAAGTGTCAATCGGACACGCATGTATCGCCGGGAAAACTGTTCTCGTTTCCCCATTCTTTGACGTCGTCATGGTCCCGGGGAGAGTTTAATTTCAAACGGCGCGATACATCAAAGTTCAGCCGCGTTTAGGTTAGTCGTCGGCTCCCTTGGATTTGACGGGACAGCGGTGGAGAAATTCGCGAGAGATGTACCTCAACGTTTGCCGACTGTCGACGCGGGCCTGCGCGAGGCAGATATACACCGGCGTGTCGCGAAATTTAATGAAAGACCATTCGGACGGCGCGTTAAAAAAGAAATTGCGCTCCACTGCCTTTTACTGGGCCGGAGTCGGAGTTCTGGTAGTTGGTTTAAGTTACTCCGCGGTGCCTTTGTACAGAATGTTCTGCCAGGTGCGATTCTTCTCTCAATTTTATGCCTTAACTTGAGTTCGGTCTCATCTGACATCGATAAATTCAATGTCGTTTATATATGACACAATGTCGGTATCAATACACGTGGATCTGTTCTTCATCGAGTTTTTCCTTTTGTTCTACAGTCATATAGTTACGGCGGAACAGTATCGACCGGTCATGACGCTAGTAAAGTGACCGCGATGTCACCTGTCAAAAGCAGAAAGATCAAGATTAAGTTCAATGCCGATGTGGCGTCGTCGATGCAGTGGAACTTCAAGCCGCAGCAGAGAGAGATTACGGTTATTCCTGGAGAGACGGCTTTGGCGTTTTACACGGCCACAAATCCGACGAATAACCAGATTGTAGGAATATCCACGTATAACGTTTTACCTTTCGAAGTAGGACAGTACTTCAATAAAATACAATGCTTCTGTTTCGAGGAACAGATGCTTAACCCGCACGAACAAGTAAGTTGATAATATATAAAATAATAATTCGAAAGTGAAAGTCGAGCTTTTTATGTATTCAACGACAGTTGTAGTTATATTTATCTTTGTACCAGTTTCTATTCTGAAATAGAAAGCAAAGATACAAATACTGAACATTTGTATAATCTATACAATTGAATTAGGCAGTGCAGTATAACTTATATTTCTTATGTATCAAGGTTGACATGCCGGTGTTCTTCTACATTGATCCGGAATTCGCGGAGGATCCGAAGATGGAGTTTGTTGACGAGATAGTTCTCTCTTATACATTTTTCGAGGCCAAACCGGGATTTAATCTGCCTGTACCGAGTTACGCCAGAGGCCACTTAACAAAGTAAAACGTAATTATCCCTAGTAGTTACAATTGTACAAATGAATAAATATTTAATATATATATATTTTTCAAACTCCCTTCGAATTGTGGAAATATCACGTAGCCTAAATTCCTTTAGGAGTGCATTCCAAATGACGGGACTGAACATTCCCATAAACGGCAGTGTATAGAGGATCAACAGAGAATATACTTTTAAAATCTAAACAATGCGTTAACAGGATACGCGCGTCTAAGACCGCAAACCTTTTCTTTGTCAATGTATATCGCGTCGATTTTAAGGGCGAGATCGTGTTCGAGCATGGTTCGGGTTCGCAGCAATTTTTGATGTTGATTCTCGAGTTCTTTCAGCGCCTTGTGCATTCGCTCGAGTTGATGATTTATTTCGTCGATCTCTTTCTGAAGGCTGAAATATAAATATAGTGTTTTCAAATAACGTCTCATCTATGGCGGCTGCTGGCGCATTATAAAGCTATATATACCTCGCATAAGCGTAATCGCGACATAATTCCATATCGGGACGATGCATCCTCGCCTCCATCCTCGTATGTGCGACTTTAGTCGCGTAACTCTTGTCCGCGATAGCTTTACGCATTAACTCCAAATTTTTCTCAACGCCGAATATTTCCTGTTGCACCTGTAATATTTCACAACTCGCGTTTTACTCCGAAAAGGCTGCGCGCATAACGTTTTATACCTTTTGCAAATGCTGTTGGAGCTTGTTCTTAGCCTCAAGTAACTCAGACGATCTATGGGTTAAAGCGTTATTGGTGTTACTCCAAGTGTTCCACATTTCCTGAGCGACTTTGTTGACAAGACTTTCGGCAGTGGTGCGTAATTGACAGGACTTGTTCCGTTCCGTTTGAGATCTTTGCACTATCCTATTCACCGCATCCGCCCAAGTTTCTTGTTCTGAAACGCTAAGAACAAGATAACGGTTAAATATAATTATTATTAAAGATAAATATATAAATATAATAATTATATTAAAAATTATACAAATACTGTGATTAAATTACCATGGATCGTATTTCTCAATTCCAGAATAATATTGTAATCCTTGAGTGTGATTGTTCAGTTGGTGACAAACAGCGTCTATGCCCAGGGCGCTCTCCTTATTCTTTAAATCCAACTCTAGTTGATTCTGCGAAGCCCTGCAATTTCGTAACTATAAACAGAATAATATTAATTGTTTAATTACGTCGAGTAGCTATAGGAATTTCACTATCATATCAAATTAAGGTACATCTTACCTGATCCTTACATTTGTCCAAGCAGGCTTCTAATTTCTTCTGGTTTGTCCGCAAGTTTTGTACTTCTCGCAGTAAACACTTTTCCGACTCGTCATGTACCAATTCTGTACCTAAAGAAAAATATAAGATTATTTATTGTAACTTTACACTATCGGAAATATGAAATACACGTTAGAAATAGCTTTGCGATATCCTACAAACCTTTTCTAGCCTCCCTGTGATACAGGCACTCCTCTGCAATACGCAAAGGTCCTTCGATATCACGTGCTGCTTTTTCTAGGACACTACGGCAATCGTGGAGTCTCTCGATTTCATGAAGCATTCTCTCCAGTTCCGCTGCCACCTCGTTACGCCAAAAAGTAATGTCGTTTATCCTTTCGCCGAGTCTTCGGCTGGTATCGTACTGACCATGCTGTATCTTCTCCTCGGCATCTCTGAAAAATATTTTGACCGTAATATCCATATACGTGACATAATTTAAAAATTGTTCCCAGGAAGCTGTTGCACCTGATAACTCTCAGAGCATCGTTTCGCATCCTCTCGGAATAATGCCTCTGCGAATCTGCCTCGTTGTAGTATTTCACTTGTTTCTGGAACCATTCGTGCGGCGTGTATCTCGTGTAAAGGGCGGCTTGCGATGCGTGAACGGGATTGCGTTGATATCCCGTGATCAGATTTGGAAATTTCAACGGCCGTGTACTCATCTTGTTACTCGCGTCCAGCGCGTAACTCGATATCGACTTTGTAGCTCTGCAAAAGAATAATAGATTAATTATATGCTTATCCATTATATGCTTGTCCAAATCTCTGCTAGGTATTTACTCAAGGGGAGGATAAGAATCTACCGAGAACCGGCGGAGATACGAATGTACAGAATAACAACAGTTTGTTAAATCAATATCATTTTATATAAAGGGCTCAAAGAACGACATCTCTACAGCTGTTGCCACAGCAGTGATGATAAAGCAAGTGAATTATAGTTAATCCTAAGAGAAAATATTGAACCTACTTACAACGGGATAACTTCTGTATTCTCGAATCCGACATTCGGTCTCCATGGCAGTAAATGGTGTGTACGAGTATAGTCACTTATACGAATCGGAAATATCGGTTCCATGTAAGATATTGAACCTCCGGCTATACTCCATGGTTGCAATTGCTAAAAAGTAAAATATGTAGATGTAAAAAATAAAAGTAATTTTTGGTTTATCTGCCAAGAGTTTAAATTATAAATCTCACATCATAAATTTATTTAGTGTCACAGCATGTTCCTACTATAAAATTATTTTTATAACAAAAGTAATATTATTTGATTGAATCTTGAAAATATGTAAGATACATTTTTTTTTAACTACACGTAATTATTTTTTCCAAATAAATTTGCAGATTATAAAATATAATTATTATAACGTAATGAAAGAGGCATTTATTATGCAATGCATCAGACATTATTTGTGAGATGAGGAGGATCATTAAAAAGAGTCATATTTTTCAAATATAGGTAATATTTATAAAAGAAATTGAACTGTCTCTCTAATTGTGGTGGTAAAAAATTTTTCTTTGAAAGAAAAAATATAATAGTATGATATAACATCAAAAATGTAATAGTACAAAATTCCGAAAAAAAAAACAATTTTTTATATTTTTATCAATACATGTATATCAGAAAAGAGTTAAATGATTCAACATGGCAGATGTACCTAGCGAAGCTCCCGAACGTGAGTATATACGAAATCTGATTTTGATCGACGTTGCAAGTAAATCGAATTAATTCAAGATATGTAAACTCGATATTCATTAAGATCCCTTAATCATTAATATATTATTTACATTAGATCACGTTTATAATGTGACGGATGTCAAATTGAAGGTTAGGTTAACTCAACACTTGTCTATTTTAATTTTGACACTTTTCTTCATATTATTTAGGAAGTGTATAATCTTTACGTTTTACATTTAAAAAATATCAACTGGACAGTGTCTGACTAAAATAATATAATAAGCTGTCATTTTTACCATATTGCTGTTATCATGTGTGAATCATCATTTCTCTTTTTCTGCCAAATCATATCTATTACATATAATTATTTACCAAGTGCTACAAATGCTAAGAGGCTTTTAAAATGTTTAGACTGTCCTGGGACCCAGAGTGAGAACGCTGGCAAAGCATCAGCTTGTGCGGGATGTCCGAATCAGTCACTGTGCTCGTCCGGAGCCACCAAGCAGCCAGATCCTGGCATCGCACTTGTGAAAGAAAGGCTATCTTCGGTGCGGAATAAGCTGCTAGTGCTTTCAGGAAAGGGTGGAGTAGGCAAGAGTACTGTGACGTCGTTGCTATCCAGGTGTCTTGCGGCAAATAATCCTGACAGAAATGTAAGCATGTAACTAATCGTAAATGAAAAGGAAATAATGTGTGCGTGATACAAATTTTGTTTGAAAATACTCAATTTTCTTACCTATTTGCATCTAATTTTTCTTATACGTTACACACTATGCGTTATGCCATGCTAACAAAAATATAAATGCTGTATATTTTACTGTCACATAAATATTCTCACATGTGTGTGATAAAGTTAATGTAAAAGCAAGTTTAATGTAATGACTCACTCTTCTGCCCATTCCAAGTACATCCATATGATTTTCAATGTACATGGTGAATGCTCAGCCACTAGTTTGCAGGAAATAACCTTAGAAGGAGAATATCTATAGTCAACTAATGGCCTATGTATGTCGTATCAACCGGTGCCAGTCCTTTATTGATTACCAGACTTTTAGTGTTCTCATTCTCTTTCAGTATTTCAGATCAATATAAATAAAGATATACAAGTGCAAAGTATAACTTAATTAAACTCTTTGTGATATATATATTAAAATTTGACAATTTACATTTTATTTCAAATCTTGTGTCTTATTAGGTGGGAGTATTGGACATCGACATTTGCGGACCGTCGCAGCCAAGAGTACTGGGAGTACTAGGGGAACAAGTTCACCAAAGTGGATCAGGATGGTCTCCTGTAGTAAGTAAATTATATGAGTAGAATTACTATGCCGAGATAAAACAATAAGTTATTACATAACATTGCATATTATTATTTTGTTCTAGTATATCGAGGATAACTTGTCACTGATGTCGATTGGATTTTTGCTCAGCAGTCCAAGTGACGCAGTTATATGGAGAGGGCCAAAGAAGAATGGTATGCTTTTAAGATCTCATCTTTTATATAGCTCTTATTATATTGGTCGATTTTTCTATTATTATGTACATACGAATTTACACGTATCTATATATATTCAGGTATGATCAGGCAGTTCCTGTCGGAAGTTGACTGGGGTAGGTTGGATTATCTCATTTTGGATACACCGCCTGGCACATCAGACGAACACTTGTCAGCTACATCATATCTCAAAGGAGCCGGTATTACGGGTGTCATAATTGTCACGACACCGCCGCAAGTTGCCCTTTTAGATGTCAGGAAGGAGATAGACTTCTGCCGAAAAGTGAACATTCCAATTTTGGGTGTGGTTGAGAACATGAGTATCTTCGTATGTCCTAAATGCAAGGTGAGAACGGTGATTGAGTGAGATGAAAGAGAAGGATGGACGGATATAATTAATAAAACGTATTTGCACACAGAATACCGCAGAAATATTCCCAGCTTCGTCAGGCGGTGCACGGGCGATGTCAAACGAATTAAATGTAGAATTCTTAGGCTCGATACCTCTAGATCCATTGCTAGCCAGATGTTGCGACGAGGGTAAAAATTTTCTGACGGAAATGCCAGATTCGCCAACCGTTAATGCTTTAAACGAAATTTGCAAGAGTAAGATTTTAACATATTTCGAGAATAAGAAAATATCTGAATGTCTTTTCATGATTTATAAAATAAAAAAAAATTTGTTTTCAGGTATTGTTCGAAAGTGTGAAGAAGAGAAAGAGAACTGTCTCAATAATTCTCAATAATAATACAAAATACATCTTTTGTACAAAAATTTATACATAAATGCGCCTGTATTGCTGATTAAATCTATAATAAAAAGATACACTCTGTTCCAATATAATTTTGCACTTTAAATCTTCGCGCTACTTTGATTAACTTTTACAAGTTCAAGGATGCAGTAATGAAAAATTTCTTATCTGTCTGCTTTGCTAAACAATAGTTTTAAAAAATAGGGGTACTTTTATCATAACGATAATACAAGAATTTGATAAATGCATTGAGTAATTGACAAACACTGATAATAGCCATATCAAACTGATTCTGAGTCAGCGCTGAGATAACTTCTTCTGACGAGTGTTTGCCTGATAATTCAAGCTTAACAAGCGAAAATGTTGATAATATAATAGGGAGAGTCAGGGAGACAACAAAGAACACATTTGCCAGCAATTCGCACAATGTTTTCCATTTTGCTATTTTAATCATATAGAGTATATTCATTGGGATACTCGGTAAAGATTTGAGCGGAGATGACGCATATGAAAAGCACACGATGCAAAGATCAACGCACACGATGTAAAGATCAGCTGCCACATATGTGCATTATGCGCAGCAGCCAGCAGCAAAGTGAGCAAAGTGCGGCGAGCGGTCCGGAGCGCAAGATTCTTTGCTCGAGCCGCTCGAGAATAATTAGTATTTTAATCTAAGTTCTCTTTGACGCACACACACACATAGTGGCACGTGCAGTGTGGAACATATTTGTTTTCAGAAGCCTAGTGTGTATTTGTGCAGCGAATACATGTAATCTCGGTAATTTGAAGGTTATGATCTATATGTAAATATTTATAATATATATTAAATTCATTAAATTGCGTTCTCATCCATGGAATGGAACATATTTTGCAGCATACTCTTCGTGTAGAATAAAAATGCTTGCGGGACGATAACGTTGCCGGCAAAATGAAAAAATTTAAAAGTTCTGTCCAAGAATAGCCCATGTCTATTTACATTTAGACTTTGTTAAAGAAACATTTATTTCATAAACATTCATTCGACTGACAGTAATGACTTTGTACAAGTACGCTCATGCATAAAATGCTTTTAATATCCTTATCGCTTTCAGGCAGAACCCGCTGGAAACTGTTTGTGGAAGCAGTTTTGACCAACGACTTGAGACATGACTGATGTAAAGGCACCTGGGCAGGATGTTCCTGAAAAATCAGGATACCACAGTGTAATCAAAGATCACTCAAACAATATTGCAGGAGGATTTGAAACCATCGTGACTAAAACATCGAAAAATGAATCTCATAAGCCGTCGACGAAAAAACATGAAAAGGAAGAGTCGAATCTTGATAAGCGTAGCAATATAAAACGTTTAATAATAACGTTACTCTTCAGCCTCATCACGACTCTTCCATTATTATACCTCATTATAAACCCATTACGTACTACTACGAGTAGTTACAATGCGGAACTGGAATTTATGATTAATATAAATAACGACAGTATCGAGGAGACAAGGTATCAGCATGTATTAGTGGATACACCCGATATGTACATTGAACAAGAAACGTATGATCGAAAAATAGTGCCTTTGAAGAAAGAAAGTAATCTACCTGAAGAAAACACATCTTTTGACAATGCTCAAGTAAGCGAAATCTAAATTTCTCTGTTACAATTTAAGAAAAACAACTAATGTCTTATTTATATTTGCGTTTATTGTGTCACTATATTATTTATTTATATGTTTAAAGCAGTGCACTAATGTTCCTGAAATATTGCGCTTCGATTGCCACCCAGAGGATGGAGCGTCGCAACTCTCTTGTACAGACAGAGGATGCTGTTGGAATCCTCTTGCGAGGAACAAAAGTGAAAAGCACGTGCCATTGTATATTCCTTATTGTTACTACCCCGAGGGATGGAATCTGTATAAATTTATTAACCACAGTCAGGATGGTAGCAACTTCTTAGCCTTTCTCAGCCGAGAGAAGGAATCTGTGTACAAGAATAATGTGCCTCTTGTGAAGGTAGAAGCCACAAGCGTAGACAGTTCAACTCTGCGTGTGAAGGTATAATGAATATTTATAGAATCTCGTAATTTTTTTTATCGCATTGTAATAATACAATAATTTTCCAGATATATGATCCCTTGAAACCGCGATACGAACCACCATGGCCAATTAGATCGGATCCGGAGCCATTTTTATACCGAGTTGCCGACGCAAAATATGAATTTAATAGCGATGGCGTAAAACCTGGTTTTAAAGTCAATAGAATCAGTGATGGCACAACATTGTAAGTATAAATTATTTTGTATGTTGTATTCAGAATATTATCTGTAAGATTTTAAAGGATTTGTAAAGATAAAGTTTCATAATTTTGATACGTTAAAGTTATGAGAGTTATCATTGAAATTATTTTTATAATATATTTTACTTGCAGATTTAATTCAATTGGGACTGGAGGTTTCATATTTGCTGACCAGTTTTTACAAATAAGTTCATTGCTACCAACAAGCAACATTTATGGCATTGGCGAGCATAGATCGAGCTTAAAATTAAATACTAATTGGCAATCATTTACTTTATTCAATAAAGATCAACCGCCAACGGAGAACGTATGTTGCTTAACTTTATCGTAGAACAAATGGATTGTTTCTGCATATTGCAAATAATATCTTCTCTATTTACTTAAAGGCAAATTTGTATGGATCTCATCCGTTTTACATTGTTATGGAGGAATCTGGAATGGCCCATGGAGTTTTATTTCTAAACAGTAACGCTATGGGTACGTTTCTTTTTTATTCTAAAACGAATATGCAATATATAATTTTATTCAAAATAACTTCATATATTTTAGATGTGATATTGCAGCCTACACCGGCTATAACATTTAGAACGATCGGCGGTATTTTCGATATTTATTTTTTCCTGGGACCGACTCCAGCTGATGTAGTGAAACAATATTCCATTCTCGTAGGCAAACCGTTTTTGCCACCCTATTGGTCGCTCGGTTTTCATTTATGCAGGTATTATATTGATACAAAATAATATTCGACGTCATGGATATTAATACTTTGTACATTAAGGTTTGGATATGGATCGTTGGAAAATACTAAAGCAGTGTGGAACAGAACGAGAGCGGCTGGAATCCCATTTGTAATGTCTGCTGTATTATAAAATGTTTCAAAATGTAAGATATACATTATCATGAATTATGTTGTATTTTATAGGATACTCAATGGAACGATCTGGATTATATGGACAAAAATAATGATTTTACATATAATAAAGAGAAATTCAGAGATTTGCCTAAGTTTGTGGAAGAGATTCACTCGGTATAGTATATCAATATAAAAGATCATGCGATGGGCAAGAGTTGGCTTATGTCAATAATTTTTGTTATTACAGGTAGGAATGCATTATATCCCCTTAATAGACGCCGGCATATCTGCTTCCGAAGATAATGGTTCTTATCTGCCTTATGATGAGGGAATAAAAGAAGACATATTTGTGAAAGACGGTATCTCACACAAGCCTTTCGTCGGCAAAGTCTGGAATTTCGTTTCCACAGTATGGCCCGATTTCACGAACCCTAAAACCATGATCTACTATGCAAATATGATGGGCGATATGCACAACAGTTTCGCGTATGACGGTGCATGGATCGTAAGTCTCGACTGATTTAAAAAATTATTTTGATACTTTTGAATTACTCGATTTCTAAATTACTTAAATTGTTTCAATCCCGCATTAAGGATATGAACGAACCGTCCAATTTCTACAATGGTTATAAAAACGGCTGTGCGCATAATAATCTAGATTATCCCGAATATGTCCCCCATGTCATTGGCGATTTGCTCGCTACAAAAACTCTTTGCATGAATGCGAAACATTATTTGGGCACACACTATGATCTTCACAACACTTACGGGACGAGTCAAGCGATTGCCACGAATTAGTAAGTAGAAAAAGCAATTTGTAATCTTTTAACTCTTTCAAAAAGCTCAAGAATTTATTCTACCAAATTTGTATGCAGTGCCCTTAGGAAGATTAGATTAAAAAGACCGTTCATAATATCTCGTTCGACATGGGTAGGACATGGTCATTACGCGGGTCATTGGACGGGTGACGTTTATTCATCATGGTAATTAGAGCTTATCTTAATGTACATCATTATATTATCTTCACTTATTAATTAAAGGACCATTTTATCAGGCATGATCTGAAGATGAGCATTCCAGCCATTTTGTCACTCAATTTTTATCAAATTCCAATGGTGGGCGCAGATATTTGCGGTTTCGACGGGAACACAACCGCTGCGTTGTGTAATCGCTGGATGCAACTTGGTGCTTTTTATCCATTTTCTCGAAATCATAATTCAGATGATACAATTGTGAGTGCCGATATACTCTTGATCGATTAATAGTAAAAATTATTGAAATATTTCCAATATAACGTAAAATGAATTATATACGTACACAGGAGCAGGATCCAGTTGCAATGGGCGACTTAGTGGTACAATCGTCAAAAAATTCTCTCAGAATACGTTATCGACTTCTACCGTATTTGTACACCTTATTCTTTAGAGCACATAAATTCGGGGAAACAGTGGCGCGTCCATTGTTCTTTGAGTACGTATCCAACACCTTGTGTATACCCGTCTTATCTATTGTCTACTACGAATAACACGCGTATCAATGTTATTAATATTATATAGGTTTACCGATGACCGACAGACTTACGACATTGATACGCAATTTCTTTGGGGAAGTGCGCTTATGATCAATCCAGTTCTCGAAGAAGTACGCCATCAGTTCATTTTATTTACATAATTTGAGATGCTTTTAAATTTAATTAATTCATGTAACTTATATTTCACAGGATAAAACTGAGATAGCTGTTTACGTACCGCGTGGTCTTTGGTACGATTATTATACTCTTAAATCCTTCTTCTCGATCGGGAAACATTATACCCTACCTGCACCGATTGACACCATACCGTTATTGGTTCGTGGAGGCTCGATACTTCCAGCGCAGAAACCGGGTGTAACGACAACGGAGAGCAGAAAGAATGATTTTGAATTAATAGTAGCGTTGGATGAAGCTGGAAATGCCAACGGAGAGCTGTATTGGGACGATGGCGATAACTTAGGTAAAATATAATTTGTGTTAAACAATTATATTGAACTATATCTTGACTACTAATTATATTTTTTAATCTACAGATACTATAAAAAATAAAGAATATTTATGGCAGTCTTTCACTGCAAACCAATCCCATTTAATGAATATAAAAATGGATAAAAGCTACCTTAACGAAGAGGTAATTCTTGGAAAAGTACAGATTTTGGGATTACAACAGCAGGTCTCCAGAGTGTTCCTAAATCAAAATGAAATTGGATTTAAATATGACGTTTTCACATCGGTAAATATTTCACTTGATAGCGATAAATATCTGTAAGTTAAAACAAAGCAATACAACTAAACTTAAAATATTTATAAATTATTTCAGAGCCTAGATATTACTGGTTTACAAGTGGACATGAAACTACCGTTCGTATTTTATTGGATACTTGGAGGACCGAATGACAATACTATTAATTAAACGTGATTTCTATCGCGGTATGTAAATCTCACTTCTAATAATTAATGTGATATAGGCTATACGTATGTTTTTTTTTTATAAATATCCTACTTTAAGTTGATATATTTTTATTATTCAATTATATGAATAAGAAAATGTGAAATATTTCAATTAAATAATCAGTGAAAGAAATGAAGTATATGTATGTATATGGAATGAATTATTATTATTAGCGTCAGTTGCGCTAATTAATATCTACTCATGAGAAATATTAATAATAGAAAAGTGATGTTCACAAGGAAAGGAAACGAGCGAATAAAGAAACATGTTTATTCAAATTGTTTTCTCCCACACATCGCACAATATATTAATGTACAAATATGACTATGTTTAGTTTATGGCACTAAAGGAAAACAATAGTATCCTGATCTCGTCGATGCTGAAAAGATAAAGAAACGTGATTCGAATATTAATTTCGTGATTTCGCGCGAAAAAGAAAATAAGACTAAAATTCGCGAAAGACACAGGATAGTCAATCTCGCCAGCGTTACTTATTTGGTTTGGCACCGTAACTCAAAATTGTCGAAGAGTTAGTGGACTTCGTCGAGGAAATATAGGAAGCTACGCTTCCTGCAGGCCATTCGAAACGGCTCTCCTCGTCTCCTCCGACCTCGATCTATATTCAAAGTGCACTCCGACCCGCATTTGCATCCGCGTGAACCGTAAGCGTAGATTCGATCTTCCGAATAAATTTGAAAACGCTAAGTCACTGCGTGCGCCATACATTCAGGCTCATGTTAATACATTAAGGTGCGTCACACGCATGAATACGCGTTGCTCTCTTTCCTTTCCTACTCGCTTTACGGACGCGCGACGCAAAATACATATCGATGCCTGCTAATAATAAAATTGAAATCATAAAACGTAACAGTACATACGCGATATATTTGGCAATGAAAGTACGATAACGAAGTCTTTGGATTCGACAACACTCTGATCATTCTTGTGTGTCGAAGAGAAAGCTTGGAAAACGAATCTCTTTTCGAACAGCTTCGAATATTGCAAACGATTACAAAATTCGCACAAAATAGCACCTCCGACTGCAGCATTTTTGACTAATTTTAGC